GAGGGCAGGATGGCACAGGAATGGGGGGGCACAGCTTGGGCCCTGGCTGCCCTGTCCTGATGCCAACTCTCTGGCCATCTCTTCTTCCACAGCTCTCCCACCCATACCCACCTGACCTTACTGTGAGCTGGCTACCCTGGACACTCACCAGGCCTGGTACCCTGGCTCAGCTGAACTCTGTAGACGGCCTGGGAGAAATGGGGCACCTGGTCATTCTCATCCTTCACACGCACAAGCACAAACTGCGGGCCCCACAAGACATGTCCATCCTCAGTCTCCAGGGCGACCTGGCAGGGAATAGTCGTTAGTGCCCTGCTCTGCCTTCCTGCTCTTCCCTACACCTGGCCCAGCTGTACCTGTAGCTGGTACTCTGCCTGTTCCTCTCGATCCAGCGCCCTGGTTACCAGCAGGAAGCCAGACTCTGGATCCACAGCAAAGGGGCCCTCAGTTGCCATGCCTGAGTGTCCCAGCAGCACAATCTGGCCCCCAGCCTTCTCATGGGGCAGCGGCAGCTGGTGAGGACAGCAAAGGTGAAGGGAGTCGGAGCTAGGCCTGCAGGATACCTCCTCCACCCAATGACACCATTTCCTATGAGGAAATTGAGGCTCAGAGAGGGCTAGCACTTGCCTGAGGTCATGCAACCAGTAAGTAACAGGACTGAGATTCAAAGCCAGCGTTCTTTCCAGCACCTGATGCTCCCCAGTACTCCCTGCCCTTCTTTCTAAAACATGAAACCCTAGTACCAATACTTCACTTTTTAAAGCCCTACCTTCTTCTGGAATTAAAATCTTGTGACTTATTCGCACTGTACCACATACTCTCTGGAGAGCAGGGTTAAAAGAGAGCCAGAGCAAGACAGAGAAAGGAGTGCTGGAGGTAGGGGAGGCTGGGCTTGCAGGGACGGTAGGCCACCCAGAGATCAGGCTCACCTTGGTCAGGTACAAAGGGAAATTTCCACCATAGTTTTCTGGGACTTCCACATACAGTCCTGCAGGCTGGGCCTTGGGGAGAGCCTGTGGGAAGATTCTCACCTTGTCACTGGGCTGTCTTCCTGCTGTGGACACAGGGACCCGCCAGAGAAGGGGAATTTCTGCCCCTTCCTTGGGCCTGGCCAGACCTTAGCCCCTCCATCTTCTGATCTTTGACCTCCAGATCCCACAGCAAGCCTACAGCCAGCTCTGACTGCCCCCCAACTACTGCCATCCATGGTCAGGGAGACTGGTCCAGGTGGAGTGCAGGGCAAGGGTACAAACACCCAAGGCCAGTCTGAAGGAGAGGAGCAGGGCCCAGCTCACCTGGGGGACGGAGAGGCAGAGTAGCCACAGGCAGGCAGGGACCATGGTCAGGACAGGCCTGAGGGACATGCCAGTAAGGGCTCAGCCTAGACTTGTGGGCAGGGCCTCCCTCTCACCAACCTCCCCCTAGGAAGAACTCCTCCCCTCACCCCGACTCAGCCTCAAGCCTTGAGTTCCCTAAGCCCCACGGGTGCAACTGTCCCTCCTTCTTCCAGCTGGACCTCCTGCTACCTGATCCCTGTGGGGCAGGGAGCAGGCCTCCTCCTGCCTCGTCCTTCTGTGCTGCCCCAGTAACTCTCCGAGCTGGCTCTCCCATCCCACCCACTTGAACACTGCCCCCACCCACTCCTACCCTTGTCCTCTGCCTCAGTCCATTTTGTACACACTGCTAGGGAACTTCAAGGCAGACTGGCTTCCTCTTCCACCCCATAGAAGGGCCTGAGGGTAGCACCTAGACCCTGCAGGGTAGCACCACATCCTCTGCCAGACCCACCAAGGCCCCCAGGCCCAGCCACCTTGCTTCTTCATTCTTGTCCCCACAAGGATCTCCGTGGGAGTTTCACCTCCAGACCTTTGTCTCCTTCCTGCCACAGCCTCCCTGGCTCACAGATCCCCAAATGGTGATTCCCAGCAGCCCCCAAATCACAAAAAGTTTTAAGCTGAAAGACCCCGATGACTCTGAGGGTCATTTCCTGCAGTTGCCTCACATTGCAGGCAAGGCCTAAAGGGCAGATCCTGACCAAGGTCGCGGAGGACTTGACCACAGGACACTCCTCCTGGCACACAGCGCTTGTGGTTCAGGGTCTCCAGGACTGCTCTCTCCCTCCCACTGCCCTCCTTCAGGCACAGAGCTCCCTCGGCGCAGGAGCCCTACTATCATTTCCACATTTTCCAGCACTGCATGGAGCTGGGCACACAGAACACAAGCACTCCAACCCCTCCTGGGAATTCTCCCCTGGATGACGGCAGGACAGGGAAGTGTTTCTCCTTCCCCACCCCAACCAGCACCAGCCTCAACCCTACCCGCCTCTGCTCCCGGGCCCTCACCAGCTGGTGCCTAAGGCTGCTTCTGTTGGTCCAGCTGCCGGGCGGGAGGGCTCTTTTCCCAGGGAGCACTGGCCAGGCCCGAACGGGTGGAGTAGGGCAGGGTGGACACTTGAGCAGGTGGGCGGTCCAGCCACACTTGCTCGGGAGTGGAAAACGCCACTGGGCCCACAGCAGCAGGTCTGGCCTTGCCCAGCCTCCCAAGTTATTCATTGACTTTGGAGAGCTGGGGGCTGCTCAGCATCTGTGACCGCCAGCCCCAGGAGTGGGGAGATCATTGTCCTGGCACTCCTCCCACCCCTACACAGTCCGGTGGGTACTTCTTGGTCTTCTAGGCTTGGACCCTATTTCTTTTTCTGTGGCTCCAGACTCAACCCCGCCTCTCCCCCATGAACCATCATGTGTGGCTCCACCTTGGCCTACTCCGTTCCTTTTGTCTGGAATGCCCTTCTCAACCCTTCATCTGTCTGGTGAACACCTGCTCAGGCTTCAGTAGTCAACTCAAATATTCCCCTCTCCAGGAAACCTTCCCTAGGCTCCCAGGCTTGTTCAGGGCTCTCCTCCGGGAATACACCCCCCTCAACCCCTCCTCACCCCTCTCCATGCCCCATGCTGCCTCAATCAATGCAGAAAGGACACCAGATGTCATTGTCTGTCTCTTCCATCAGACTGGGACCCTCTCCAGGGAAGATCAGGGACCCAGCTATGTTCTGGCCCTGGCCCTGGCCCAGTCTGCAGCTCCTGTCTGGCTTGTGGAATTGGAGGTTGCACCTGAAGGGTAGATGAGCAGGGTGTGAACTGGGTACCTGGGGCTCCATACCAACCCAGCAGTGGGACCAGTGTGGAAGGGAAAGCGGTCTGTGAGAGCCCCAAGGCTCCCCAGGTGCTCACACTAGGCCCTGGACATGGACAGGGCTAGGACAATGGACTGCCTCCTGCCTCTGAGAAGGAAAAGAGGATTGAGCCAGCCCAGGTGACCTTGAGGGAATTGCAGGGTTGCCCAGGGCCCCATCCCCCAGTGCGGGCAGCCAAGTGGAGCCAGGAGAAGTCTCTGAAGCCTGGGAGTCTGGGACCAGGAGGGAGTGTAGGAAGGGTCAGGGGTTCCTCCTCCAGTCCCTCCTTGTCCTTGGAGCTTCCCATGCTCCCCCCAGAGTCTTCCCTACTGTGCATCTGGAGGCTGGGCTGGGACCCCTCAGCTGCCCTCAGCCTTGCCTGTCATGCACTGAGTGCCCTCCTCAGGGTCACGCGGGCACTGCCAGCAGCCCAGCCCAGAGAGGTGTAGTGTAGGGATGCCGAAGGGGTCTCACATGTGTTGGGCTCTTACTATGAGCCTGGCAGTGCTCCAAGCATGGACCTTCATTATTCCACCTTCTCCATTCTGAAGGGGGCATCGTCCCCATGTCACACACTGATACACACTAATGCTGAGTGGCTTGCTCACATCACACAGCCAGTAAGTAGCAGAGTCAGGAAGGCCTGGATTCTTCTTCAGGCCTCAGGACCTTCACCTACTCTGTGAAAACCATGCCCTCAACATGCCTTGAGATACACTGTGGGGTAGAGGTGGGGAGCAGCAGCAGCTTTGAGCAGTAAACACTGGCCGGGGGGGCATGTGGCTTAGTCAGAGAGGTCCCACACACTGCACAGTGCCCCTCACACATCAGCCTGCCATTGAACAACTGCAATCAGTGTTCTGAACAGGTTGTGCGGACACCCAGGGGTCTGTGGAATGCATAAATTGAACCAAGGAAGGAATGTATGGACGCTGGCCCAGAACCTTCTCAGACACTCCCCAGCCTTGCTCCAGGGTGCCTTCAGGCTCTGTACACAGCAGACTTAGACATCAGTCCCCTCTCAGCCATTTCTACCTCTGGAACCTCAAGGAAGTGCTTCAGTTCCCCATCTGCCATTGCAAATTGGGAAACTTGCTCCTGAAATGATGTAGGTAGCAGGCACCTGTGCTGGGGAAGGCTCCCCTTCCTGGGTGAGGGTGGTGGGGCGACAGGTACCAGGTACCCCTCCAGCTATCTGCAAACACGCACACAAGTCCACACAAATGCAAGAACTCTCCTTCCAGACAGGCAGGGCTCCAAGCCGTTCCCACCAAGACCCTATTAGCCAATGCTAATTGACTAGTCCACCAATTGGCAGTGGAGAGAACAGTGAGCCCCCCATAGCAGAGCCTCAGCCACTAGCCACCTCCTTCCCCACCAGGGCATCTTGGAAGTCTACCCCACCTCAGCAGATTTCCAGCCCCTCAGGAGGAAGCAGGGCAAAGACACCAGCCCAGGAACTAGACTCAGGGTTCTCATTTGGCTATGAGATCTCAGGCAGGGTGTGGTCCCTAGAGCAGCCACAGTTTCCCTTACATACAGCGGGAGTGATTGAACCTTCCATCAGCTGGGCAATGCCAGGCCTCAGTGCAGGAGAAGAATCTGGATCATAGGATGGGAGGATTCATATCTCTTCCTGCTTCTTGGACCCACAAGCAGGGCCCAACCCATACCTGCCTCCTCTAATCCAACAGGCTCTACAAGGCCAAACATTAGGATAGTCAGGGCCATGCACAAAGATAGGGCACTGAGCCCCCATCCCTTAACTTTGGGATATCTTCCTGCTCCTGAAGTCCCCAAGACAGTAGGAAACACAGCGCTCACAGCCTTGACCTATCTGGAAATAGTCTTTATTACAAAACTCCGCATGTAAACAAATAGCCACTGCACTGAATAGCCTCCCTCCAGGGCATGCACACCTAGGCTTGGAGAAAGGTGGAGTCCTCTCCCCACACACATCCTGCCCCATGGGCTGGGCGAGGGCTGCTGCTTGGGACACACATGGGCCTGCACACACATCTCTGTGGGCCCAGCCCTTGGTGGCCACTGGGAGCTGCCTCCCTGCACAGCACTGTCTGTCCATTACCATGAGGTGGTGGTTGCCAAGAGTCTGAGCCAGCCAAGGCACCTAGGGCAGTTTGGCTGGGCCAGCCCACCAAACTGCCCATCTGTCTGCACAACGCAGTGAGTGCCCATGGGGCCTAGAGCACCGAGAGGTCATGACAGGACTTGGACTTGGCACGAAAAGCCATCTTGCGGCTGTTGCGTGCTACAATGCGGCCCAGAAAACGCTTCGCCTTCTTGCCAAGGCTCTCTCGCCGCCGGGTACCCGCTTGCCTACGTGCATTGGCCTCTTTGCTGTCCCTGCGCAGGCGTATCTGGCGCACAACACCTTCGAACAGTGCCTGGACGTTGTGGTGCAGTGCAGCCGATGTCTCAATAAACTTGCAGTCAAAGACCACAGCGCAGGCTCGGCCCTCTGGTGTGGGTGGGGACAGACACATGCTAGTAAATAAAGGGTGGGTGGGTGAGGAGCCCACTCAAACCCTGGCCACCCCATGGTAGCTACTCCTTGGGAATCTGTGGGTAAGGGAAGGGGGAGCCCTGGGTCCTCCCCAAAAACACAGACCATAGCTCCTATACATAGGGTCCCAGGCATTGCTGGGCCACCCAGCAGCAGTGTGCCTGCATTTAAGGAGCCCACAAAGGCCCACAAAGGAAGAAGACTCACTTACTGAAATAACTTAAAGTCTGCTGCAGTAGGCAATACAGAATGAGAACTTTGTTGGATGGCTTAATGTTTTATAGTTTTGATGTTATATCATGATGATATAACAGTGGAATTGTGGGAAGGGTGTCACCAGGCCACTGCTAGGTTTCTCCAAGGAGCTCAGTTCTGGGGGCCCAGAAGACGATGCTGAGCCCAGGAGGGTGTGTCCTCCCCAGGGGCAAGCCTGCACCAAGACTTGTCAGGCCTGGAATCCAGGCTCTGACCTTCTGGCCTGGTTCCCTGTACTCTCCTCACCCTTCATTTGTCAGGTCAGGGCCAAAGGGGACAGGAGAGGAGGGCCCTGAGGTGGCCCAGCTCAGCACACAACAGCTTTCACCTCACCTAGTGCATTTGCTCCTTTCCCCAGCACTCTCCTGTCTTTGGGCGTCCTGTGGGAGGGCAGTAGCTCTCCCCTTCTCCCCCCACCAAGTTTTCTTCCTGAGCACTTTTAGCCACTGATGGCCCCCAGGGACTTGAGCTGAGCCAAGACTGAAGGACCTCAGCCCAGCCAGGATTTCCCTGACTTTCTGACTCCACTCCCTGCTTACCGTCCAAGGAGACCTCTCGTGAGCGCACCAGGTCGCTCTTGTTGCCCACTAGAATAATGGGCACGTCATCTGTCTGCCGCGCCCTCCGCAGCTGGACCCGCAGCTCTGAGGCCTTCTCGAAGCTGCCCTTGTCTGTCACTGAGTACACGATGACATATGCATCCCCCATGGCCATGCAGTGACCTGGTAGCCAGCGGCCCCCATCCTGGGGGAACACATACAAACATACATCTACCCAATAGTTCTCATGCCTGGGTTACAAGGCTGCCAGTTCCGGCAGGCCCCTACCCCCAGGTCACCCTTCCCACCCTTCCCTATGTCTCAGCCTGCATCTTACCTGCTCCCAAATGTCATAGACCATGAGTGATGCTTCTTCTCCATCCACCGTAATGGAGCGATCATATGTGTGCCCTAAGCAGGAGAGCAGTAGTCAGGTTACCTGCTGGCTGCCAAAAGGACCCCCATGTACCAGGTTTCCTGTTCCAGCCACACCCACAACTCCTCCACAGAACACCTCTCATCTCCCCGCACTGATGGCTGCTTCGCAGCAACAGAAGTGACATAGTTGGGAAGTAGGGCATGGAGAGTACGATATCAGGTGACTTAGAGACCTTCCCCAAGCTAGCAGTGATCTGGGTGACCACTCTTGTGCTCCCTGCTCTCCTGTTGCCCAGCCCCCAGGGTGGCTCTGACCACAGTGGTCTTAGAACAGTGACAGTCACATCCCCTGGAGGCCTTGGTCACCTATGGCTCATGTCCTATAAACTCTCTCTGGCTGTGTCTCTGCCAGCCATGGCAGAGAGGGGTGTTCTGTTGTCTTAAGTATGCCCCTGGGCCTTCTACTCTGGGCATTTTTATCCCTGTCAAGGGCTGGAGGTCTCCGCTCCTTTAGTTTCCCCCCACCTGTGAAGTGGGTAAGTAAAGGCACGATTCTGAAAGTGCCTTCAGAATCCCGCAGTATTCACTGCTAGTGATCCAGGTCACCAGCCCAGCAGCTCCCAGTCCTAACCCTGGTATCTCTCCTACCTTGAAAGTCCCAGCCCCTCACCTGCGGCCTCTGCTTCCGGGCCGTCCTCTACACCACCGAAGATGCGTGCCAGAGCACTCTTGCCCACGCCAGGCGCCCCCAGCAGCAGCACCTTGTAAACACTCTCGTCTGAGTCGCTGCCCCCTGAGCTGAGAGACTCAGAGGAGTCCTCCGGCCAGTCCGGCCTCGGACCCTGGGCCCGGGTCCCAGCCGCTGCCCCTGCCAGAGCGCCCGGAGCCAGCGCCGCCTGCAGGTCGCGCTCGTCCACCGGCATGCTGCGGCGGTGCAGTGGGGGCGCTGGGCCCCAGGGTGTGCTGCCCCGACGGCGCTCGCGCTCCCGGCCCCCGCTGTGGCTCCCGCCCGCTCCACTGCCGCCGCCATTCAGAGTCATCGCGTCGGACGCCGTCTGAGAAGCGGGAATCCGGATGGCTCCGTAAGCCGCGGTGGAGATGGAGTGCGAGGCTGGACCCTGCCCAACCCGGGGCCAGGCAAGATGCCTGGGGCCAAGGACCTGCGCAGTTCCCTCCAAGCACTAATCGTGACCCACCCTCCTGACTCGTCGATTCGCAACCTGGACGGTGGGACCATCCCCACCCCACTCCGCCAGGACACTCACCCACTCACACACGGACACGGTCAGGACTAGGTCCCGGGCTCGGATTCACTCCACAGGCAGACACCAGGCTCGGTCACTCGACGCTGCCGCAACTGCCACCTTCTCAGTGCGCACTGGGCCCGGCCACCAGAGCCGCCTATTTAAGCCTCTGCCCGCCCCCGCCTCCGCCCCCGCGCTCGCCCCCATCCACGCTGAAGCGGGGGCTGACGTGTCGGTCCTCCCCCTACCCAGGGGAATCCCCCACCCTCCTCCTCGGACCTCACACCCACCGAGACCCCGCCCCACCAGCCGGGGTGGGGCAGGGGCAGACGGGGCAGACGAAGCCCGGGTCTGAGTGTGGCTGGGAGGGCGGGAGGATGGGAGTACGTGAGCGGTGGAGGAGGGGGTTGGGGATGGAGGGTGTCAGCAAGGGTCGGGCAACGGGAGAAAGCTACACAGCGGAGAAGGCTACACAGCTAAATGCGCCAACTCCCTTCTGAGAATGAATTAGTTCTGGCTCTTTAAAAGTGAAATCTTTCCCTCTCCCCGATTCCAGGCCTGTTGCCCAAGCAAGCAGACCAGTTACAGGCTGGACAGACTTCTCCCTTCTCTGCCCATGACACCCACTGTCCACTGGCCCATATCTGAGCTAGAATTTAGGGGTCCTAAATCCGGGCTTCTAGCCTCATCACCAAGTCCCCTCCCTTCCCAATCCCCTCCCTGCGCTGGGGAGTTGAAGATTCTGCCTGAGGAGCCTGCCCTTCAGGGTGAGGGTTAGTGTCACTCCCTGAACCCTTGGGGCCCTTGAAGAGCTGTATGGGGGTGGGAGGCAAGGAAGGGAGGCCCTCTGGCAGTGTGTTGGGGTAGAGGTGCATGCTTCAATTCTTGGGGAGAGAATACAGGCCCAGAGAAAGGAAAGGATGAACTCAGCACCACCTCAGTCCCCAGCACCCTCCAGGCAGCTGTCAGCAACTCTGCTAAAAATACCTGGCCCCAGCCTGGCCTGGTCATTCTGCTCCTGGGCTGGAGGTTGCCCAAAGTTGGGGAAATCCTGGCAGATAGGTGTCAGATGCCAGCAGGAGTGGATAGGGGTGGGACTGAACTGGATCACTGCTGGATCCAGCCACTTTAAGAATCTTCAATGTCTTCCCCCTTCCTTCCAACACTGGACTGGGCCTGCCTTTCAGAGCACATACAAGTCCTAAAGGTTCCCAACCAGGAGTGATACAGGTGTAGAGTATGGTCAGGGTCAGGGGTGGGGCTATGGGTTTAGCCATTTGGTGCCACACTGCCCAGAGTTCACCCCCTACTCAAACCTAGGGTGAGAGCAGGGGCACAGAGGGGAGGAAATGTGAACAGGAGGCTTGGCTCCTAGTCCTGGGTCTTGCCTCCCTCCCAGCCTCAGGGTGCCCAGCTATAAATTGGGTATGACCTATTCCCCCTTGCTCATGTCTGGCGTGTGTGAGGATTGCAGGCAGGCTGAGGTACTTTGTGACAGAGACCTACTATCAGACTCCTGACGTTTGATTGTGATGATTGTGGCAGGGTTGGGGAGCACCCATTCAGGGCTCAGGTGACATCACCAGCGGATGGATCCTGGTGAGCTGTGATAGGTTGTCATGGAGACCTGGGTCAGGTTTTCTAGGTGCTGTGCCAGTTTCCTTGGCAACATCTGAGAGGGCCTTGGAGTGAGGAGGGATTGGTGAGGTATATGTTGGGGGGTTCATACAGGGCTCTCTGGTTCTTGAGGTCCCCAACATAGGCAAGGCTGGACAGAGGGGTGGCCTGTCCATTTGTGTCCTTCACATGACCTGGGGGGATCTTGGAGGCCTGGGCAACCCCTTGCTGACTCTCGCTTCCTGGATGAGGTCCAGTGGGAAGAGGGAGTCATGGGTTGAGCCTCTCGTCAGAGGACACAGGTCTCAAAAGCAAGCAAACCACTTCCCATCAGCAATCCTGGCTGGGTTTATGGCCCCTCCTACCCACCTCACACATGACCCTGTGCCACTAAAAAGAACCGCTGGGTATCCAGCAGAGGGTGAGTATGTGGGGGTAGCTGTGGCCCTTCCCATCAGGGAGCCATGCAAGGAATTAGGGCTGGGTTTCCCCCCCTGGTAATCTGAGTTCTTGACCTCAGCAGTGTTTCCTCATTGCCAAGGGAACTGTGTCCACATCGGGCCACTCAGGCTCCAGGCATTCCCCAACAGGCCACACACACACTCACCACAAACCTAGGTATGGCCAGGGGCCCCAGGAACCAACACTAGACATGACCTTGAGACACCCCCACACCTACCTCCTGGTGTTCCCAGCTCTCTGGGCTGAGCTTGGCTGCCCACAAGAAACAAAATGAGTCTGGAACAGGCCCGGGCAGCCTAGCCTTCAAATCCCAACCATGCCCCTTGCTAGCTGTTTCATCTCTGCCCATTTATTTTGGCTAAACCTGTTTCTTCTGGCGTAGAACAGGGATGATGTCTTCATGGGGGTTGTTATAAGATATAAATAACATGAAATGCAGAGGTAAAGTACTTGGCACATGCCTGGCATATTGTAGTATCTCAGTAAGAACACTTTTATTATCATCCCTGGTTGGACAGGACAGGATGAGTGAGCTGTGGGCCCTCTCCTGCTTCTACTCCATTCTCTCCAAAATGGTGGTCTGCCCAGGAGAGGGACAGATGGCAGATACCTCTCCCCTCTCCCCTATACCCACCTTTTCTCTGCAGGACCGCTCCCCCTTCCCCTCTTTCAGGTAGCAAAAGATTGCAAAGGGAACTTGGCTGGCTTTCATTATCCCCAGCCCTCCTAACACAACATTCCCATGCCCGTTTCTCTGTTCTTTCTAAGGCTTCATACATTCATTCATACCACTGACCTATACTAAGTAGCTATTGTGTGCCAGGTCCTTGTGCTGGAGGCATGACAATGAGCAAAAATCAACAACACAGCTGGGCATGTTTATACATGTCATCTAATCCTTGAGTCAATCTGATATGTTGTTACCAATTTGTATACATGGTAACTGAGGCCTGAGAAGTCACAGGCCAGAAACAGCAGAGCCAGACACACCTGGTGGAGAGCTTCTGGGGCATAAAACTTCACCTCCCACCCACCTCATACCAGTGTCCTCAGACAGCAGCTGGGTTTCCAAAAAGTTCCCTGGGCCCTAGCCCAGGATTCATAAATGGTATCCCTGCAGGCAGCCAGCAGCCACGCACACATGAGTCAAAACTGACAAGGGGTCTATCTGATATGCCAGCTGGGACATGAGCAGCTTGATATCCCTTGCCCACCATGGCCTGACAGCCAGGAGGGCCAGCTGAATGACTCAGCAACACCTGCCTTTCCCATGGCCTCCCACTGAATACAGACAACTCGGACACCTTAGGGAGATTGGGGCTGTCAGTACCGACAGAGGCATATACATGGTGAAGCCTATAGCTGGGTATTGGTGGTTGGGAAGGCTCCCCGGGCCCTGAGGGGCCCTGGTTGGTCACCCTGCCTGTCTAGAGCACTAAGCTTGTCCATCTGTGGAAATGGTGGAAACAGTGCTTGGAAGATTGCCTGAAATGGGCACAGATCCATTTTAAATCCCCACAGGATAATCCCAAGTGATTGTCACTACTATCCCCACATCACACATGAAGAAACTGGGCAACAAGAGCTGATGGCTTCACCTCTCTGAGCTTGGGTGGCCAGATCTTGGTCACTAGGTGCCAAAGTCATTCCCTTTTTGGAACTAGGGGCTTGTGGGGGTGGGGGTGGGCCCTTCCATCCATGCAACAGCGCCCCCTGCCAGCTGAGCAGTACCGGCTAAACAGCTCAGATTTCTCTCTACTCCCTAGCTAGTGGTCTTAAGTAAATTACTTGTTCTAGAAGCTGGTTTCCTCACCTGCAAAACAGGGCATAAAAAGAACAGCAACTGTCACATAGGGCTGAATTAAGGATTGACTAAGTAGTATACTTAGTCCCTCAGCCACAGCCACAGCCACTCTCAAGATAGGCTCAATATTGTCAGCAGGCCCTCAAAAACAGATTTGCCAAGTGCTCAGGCTCCCTGCTGTGGCCTCTGGAGGTCTCTGACCACAGTCACATGTGAGCCTCAGCAGGGATGAGATGGGTAGGGCAAAGCTTAATTTCCCCATTTATCCTCAGAGAAAGAAACCAAGGCAGGGGAATCATGATGTTATGGCTAACTGGCTGATCTGAGGTCTAAGCCCCACAGTCTGTCTTGGTGACCAACAGTGCTCTGGGCATAGGACTGGAGGAGACAGAAGCACCAGACCTGAGTACCTGGGGTGATACATGCCTCTGGAAGCACTGGAAAAAATGCTTCAGGTTCCTTACAACAAAGAAATCTAATGTCACTGTCCCAACCAGTGAGATACGCAGGCATCACACCACTACTAGTGGATGCTAAAGGATACATACAACACTCCTAGGCAAGGTTCTCATCAATAAACTCAAACCTGAACTCAGTCAACTTCTAGTTTATAGGAAACACAGCAGACAGTGGAACAAATCAGATTGTGTGACTTCTCTAGGCAACTCAACTGAACTTTTCAAAAAAGTCAATGTCAGGAAAGATAACAAGGTTGGGGGAGGTTGGAGAACAGTTCTAGAAGAGCTAAAGAAAGATAACCAAATGCATTACATGAGCCTTGTTTGGAGCCTGATTTAAAAAAACAACTATGAATGACATTTTAGGGAAATTAATATATGACTGGATGTTAGATGGTGTTAGTTAATTGTACACTTTTTAGCCAGATAACAGTACTGTGGTTAAAGTCTCTTAGGAGGCACAGGATCAAATACTTAGAAGTGAAGGATTAAGAGTCTGCAGCTTACTCTGAAATATATTGATATTATACACATGACATAAATAAAGCCAATTGTGCAACACATTTAACAACTGTTAAATCTAGGTGGTGAGTATGCAGGTGTGTTCACTATGCTACTCTTTCCATTTTTCGGTACACAGGTAAACATTGTTTTATTGTACTTTGCTTTATTGTACTTCACAGATAATGCATTTCTTTTACAAACCAAAGGTTTATGCAACCGTGCACTGAGTAAGTCTACAACTGCCAATATTTGTTATAGGGATCTATGATCAGTGATTACAACTTACTAAAAGCTCAGATGACAGCATTTTCAGCAATAAAGTTTTTAAGTTAGGGCATATACATTGTTTTTTTTAGACATAATGCTATTGCATACCTAATATACTACTTAGGGTGGATACATAATTTTTAAATGCACTTGGAAACCAAAACATTCATTTGATTTGCTTTATTTCAATATCCACTTTATTGCAGTGGTCTGGAACCAAATCTGTAATATACCTGAAGTATGCCTGTACTTGCAACTTTTCCTAACCAAACCATCAGGAGAAATTTTAAAAATTAACTGTATCGTATGGACCCAACCTGTACAGGCACTCACTACGACCCCGCCCTCCCAAACCTGGAGTGATCCCATCAAGATGAAAGACTCTAAGGCACCCTGGGCAATGAATATAAATTAAGGGTTTATTACAAAATGCAAAATGTTAGTTTCTCATTGTCAGTGATTCAAACAAGGCCATGAGCCCTGGGTGGGGGAGGGGGGTGAAAAGCCAGTTTTAGGAGCGGGCTGACAGGCACTGGTTCACAACCTCCAGCAGGTGGGTGTTCTCCAGGGCAGCTGCCACCCGCTCCTTATCGGCAAGTTGCTTGTTCACTGGGTAGACAAAAGGAGTGGGAAGTTGGATCAAACTCAGGCTCTGGCCAGGCTGCTTGCCAGCTCTACCTCGGAGCTTGGTGTGTATATGTATATATACATATACACCCCCACCAACAAGGCCCTCCTGTCACCTCCTACCCAGGACCTTAAGCCTCAATTAGGTACCCCAACCACCTGCACCCACACCTATCCCACCTGGGAGCCCCTCCCACCTGGCTGCTCATGTCTGTCTGTCTCCTGTACTACAAAACATGACATACCCTGGTCCCGTGCACGGAGGAGAGGAAGAGGGTGGGAGGGAGAGAACATGGTAAGTACAGGAGACTCAAGTCAGACTAGCTTCACTCTAGACTGCCACCTCTACTGAGGAGCCACTTACCCAGCACTATACCCAATCCCCATCTTGCCCTATGAACCACTATAACAAGGGGGAAGCCTCACTGCCAGTACTTCAGTATCAGCCCACACTTACCTGCATGCTCAGAGGCATGGGTCCCTGGTGTAATGTGCACATCCATCTGGGAGGGAGAGAGGTGGGGCCTGAGCACTCACCCACCTATCTACCCTCTTCTCCCCTCTCCCCACTATCAGCTGATCCTTCTTCCTAATTATGCCTCTAGACTCTGGCCCTTCTATTACACCCCAAACCCACACACTGCCACACTGTCTCTACCCAAAGGACTGACCAACTGTTGTTGACTTAATAAAGGCTTGCCTGGGCCCCGTCCCTGCTCCAAACTATCTACAGGTCCCTACTGTCCATCCTGCTGTACTCCTCAGGACTTTTCTGCACTTTGCAAAGCAAGCCTTTATTCTTCTTCTTGTCCATCCAATTAGAAAGCCTCCTCCCAGTTTCATCTCTGCTAGCTGAGATCCTTTTTGGCCTCACTATGATGTCCATGTATCTGTATTTACGTACATGCTGTCCATATTCTCCTCAGCAGCAGATGCACACACCTGCCCCATCCCCAGGGCTCAGTTCCAACTTACCTTGAAACGCTGGGGAAGGGATCGCAGAAGTTTGACTTTGATGGACAAGCCAATAAGGGTGGCCATGCTGCAGTGCGGAATGGTGGGTGTAAAGGCCACAGCCACTGTGTTCTCAGGGTCGCTCACCTGGTTGGGGGTAGGCGGATGGAATGTCTGGAGTCATGATCCTCCCAGCCCAGAGCCCCTCTTCTTAGTTTGCGGCTCCAGGCAAGTCGTCTAACGTCTATGAGATTCAGTTTCCCCGTCCATGAAATGGGCACAACAATCCCCCCTTACAAAGATCCCGAGAAATCCGTAAGATGAGACTACCAACCCTTTCCTACACAGCCGAGCCTTTCTGACTCTGCCTTCAGGCTCTGGCCAGGCTGCTTGCCAGCTCTACCTCGGAGCTTGGTGTGTATATGTATATATACATATACACCCCCACCAACAAGGCCCTCCTGTCACCTCCTACCCAGGACCTTAAGCCTCAATTAGGTACCCCAACCACCTGCACCCACACCTATCCCACCTGGGAGCCCCTCCCACCTGGCTGCTCATGTCTGTCTGTCTCCTGTACTACAAAACATGACATACCCTGGTCCCGTGCACGGAGGAGAGGAAGAGGGTGGGAGGGAGAGAACATGGTAAGTACAGGAGACTCAAGTCAGACTAGCTTCACTCTAGACTGCCACCTCTACTGAGGAGCCACTTACCCAGCACTATACCCAATCCCCATCTTGCCCTATGAACCACTATAACAAGGGGGAAGCCTCACTGCCAGTACTTCAGTATCAGCCCACACTTACCTGCATGCTCAGAGGCATGGGTCCCTGGTGTAATGTGCACATCCATCTGGGAGGGAGAGAGGTGGGGCCTGAGCACTCACCCACCTATCTACCCTCTTCTCCCCTCTCCCCACTATCAGCTGATCCTTCTTCCTAATTATGCCTCTAGACTCTGGCCCTTCTATTACACCCCAAACCCACACACTGCCACACTGTCTCTACCCAAAGGACTGACCAACTGTTGTTGACTTAATAAAGGCTTGCCTGGGCCCCGTCCCTGCTCCAAACTATCTACAGGTCCCTACTGTCCATCCTGCTGTACTCCTCAGGACTTTTCTGCACTTTGCAAAGCAAGCCTTTATTCTTCTTCTTGTCCATCCAATTAGAAAGCCTCCTCCCAGTTTCATCTCTGCTAGCTGAGATCCTTTTTGGCCTCACTATGATGTCCATGTATCTGTATTTACGTACATGCTGTCCATATTCTCCTCAGCAGCAGATGCACACACCTGCCCCATCCCCAGGGCTCAGTTCCAACTTACCTTGAAACGCTGGGGAAGGGATCGCAGAAGTTTGACTTTGATGGACAAGCCAATAAGGGTGGCCATGCTGCAGTGCGGAATGGTGGGTGTAAAGGCCACAGCCACTGTGTTCTCAGGGTCGCTCACCTGGTTGGGGGTAGGCGGATGGAATGTCTGGAGTCATGATCCTCCCAGCCCAGAGCCCCTCTTCTTAGTTTGCGGCTCCAGGCAAGTCGTCTAACGTCTATGAGCTTCAGTTTCCCCGTCCATGAAATGGGCACAACAATCCCCCCTTACAAAGATCCCGAGAAATCCGTAAGATGAGACTACCAACCCTTTCCTACACAGCCGAGCCTTTCTGACTCTGCCGAATGAACTGCCTCCCTAGGACGCTAGGAGCGACTTACCTGAACTCGAACTTGCTCTACTACGTTCAATTCTTCTAGCGTCAATGGATGCTCCGGGTCATTGATGGAGCGAATCAGATGTGGCAAGTGAAGGAAAAAGGGACTCTGCGCCTCTGCCCACTCAGAACCCTATGCCGGGAATGCCCGGCCTAGATACAGCTCCACGGACTACTGGACATCATTTCATCCCCCTCCCAGGTCCCCGCGAACCCGCGCGCCCGGCAGCAGCGGATATCGAAGATCTCGCGAGCATCGATGCTGTCTGGAACCTGCTCGTCCTCCTCGCCTGCGGTAACCGGCCGCTCCCCGGAGCGCTCATAGATGAGGGGATTAGCGTTCTCCAGTAGGCTAGCCCCTACCCCGCCGCCGCCGCCGCCCACCATAGCGAACCCGTTGCCGGTTGCAGTCGGCGGGCACTTCCGTTCCTACTCGCGCACTTCCGGGGAACGGGAAGGGGCGTGGCGTGACGACGGGGTCGCGCGAGGGACACGCAGCGTTGCTCTTAATCTGCCTGGGATTCGGAAGGGGAGGTGTCTGTGTGGACCCGGGAAGATGTGGACCGCTCCAGCAAAGGCACAGAGAAGGGACCCCAGCGGTGCTGGGCGGTGCGAGCCCGTAGAGTGCTGGACGACGGAAGCCAAGGCTGGTTCTCAGCGGCGCTGAAGGCCGGTCTGAGATTGAGCCAGGCGTACCTTTAGGCACCACTTTTTCCGGGAAGTCCGCTCCTCAGGCTGAGCGGGCACTGAGGTCCGAGTTGCCTCTATCCTGGCAGGGTTCCCTGCGTTTCGGAACCTCTCGGTGACGCACATGCATCCTCCGCTGCACCTTGAGCCCGGGAGCTCCCCGCTGAGTCCCTACAACACCGACCAGCAGGAGCTCTTTGAATGTTTGTTAAATGGATAAATGACCGTGAACTCGATTTTGGCGGGGGTTTGGGATGGAGTGGGGGTGGGGTGACCTTAAGATGAGTGCCACAGTCACGTATGCATTTCAAAAGAAGGGCCATAGCCGAGTAGGGAGGAGGCTCAAGGAGACCCTCAGATCTGAGACAGTAGGGGATGAGGGACCTTGAAGGCAGACCCAGGATACTGAGTCTCCTGAAAGCGAGGAGCTTTCAGGATGAAGGAGAGTCACACCTCCCTGCCTTCCTCAAGCGGTTCCCTTCACCCTGAACAAAGGTCGTTCCCATTTCTCCATCTGTGGAAATCCTGATCGTACCCCTCCTTAAGGAAGCTCTCCTTGTTTCCCCAATCACAGCTTATTGCTCCCTTTCTCGGCCCGCAAGCAGCTGTGTTGAGCCTGTCACTATTAGGAGAATGAACACAGTGACTCCAGGTTGGAGGATAGTGTTCTTGGTATTGTGAAGGGGCTGCAGACGCCTCGTGGTCCCTTCGAGGAAGCCCAAGGGGCCTGGGGCAGACGGGTCCCACCTGCCTGCTACTGGCCTTCGCCTGCTCAGTTCCCCTTTTCTGCCAGACCCGCCTATCCCCAACGCTTCCCGGCCCGCCCCTTTCTACTCCTTGCCCTGATCTAAACTCCACGGTCGACAGCTGTGTGGGGCCCTGGGCAGCCTCTCCGTGAAAAGCCGCGTGCCCGAAGTTAGCGCACACACACCCGCAAAAGATCTGTGGCGAGCAGACCATGCGGCTGGACAGACTTTGTGCTTGGCTGAGCGCGGTGGCCTGTGGGTTCCTGCTGATTCTCATCCAGGGCCAGGGTGAGCCTCCCTCGATGGGTAACAGGGACTGAGACGAACTTGACAAATTCTGCAAAGACAGGACGTGAGACTGCGGGAGAGAGGGCACCAGGGAGGTGGGAGCCGGTGAAGAATCAGCGCGAGAATCGAGCCCCGGATCCGATGCTTCGCAACCTCCTGGGGTGGGCCGCTTGCACCTCAAGCAGCTGTGTTGAGCCTGTCACTATTAGGAGAATGTCACCATTAGGAGAATTGCACCTCAAGCGGCCCTCTGAGGTCACACAACACCGAGGGGGGAGGCCAGGCCGGAGGGGCTCTGAGGACGGAGGGGACTGGGGGATGTTAGGGACGTTTCCCTCCTAGAGTTTATGCTGGACCGGACACTGCACGCCGGTGGTGTAACAGTATCTTTCCGTCGCGGTTTGGCTGTGAGTATCGTCCTTGTCCAGAGGGGCGCTCTGGCACCACTGAGAACCCATCCAAAAAGGCCCCACGCAAGGTTACTGGCCCTCAATGAATTCGGCTACTTAAGCCTCTTAAAGCCTTTGGGAGAGGCTGCCTTGTCCTTCTCTAAGCCCCATTGTTCCCTGGCGAGGGTGTGTCTTGGCTTCCAGGGCGAAGGTGAACTGCGCTTTGTGCCAGCTTCCGGGCCCTCATCAGTTTAAGCTATGTAGCATGGTGCCTAGGGCCTCTGCAGCTCCTGTGCCCACTCCCGCTGGCATGATACCCTAACCCAAAACAGACTTGCCTGTTATACCAGACTGCCCACCCACTTCTTAGTCCAATCTGCCCTGGAGCTGTCTGCATTTAACCACACCCCACTGGGGCTTGCCCCTTACTTGCCACTAACCAGGTTGAGGTCAAGGGAATGTTCCAACAAAACAATGCACTAATCCCCATGGCCTCTCCCTTTAAAAGTGTTAATATTTTAGATTGGCTCCACATTCTGAAAGAAATAATTGACAAACCAAAAGAGGACATAGGTGATGGGTGTGGCCCTTTCCTGTCCCACCCAGTCCTGGCTTCTTCACAGGGACCATGAAGGTCCCCAGGGCCTTCTACACACTGCTTGGGAGTTAACCCAAGAATGGACAGGTGCAGGCATTTTCACGTTCTGACACAGGGAGTGATCTCCCCATACCCTCACATGGTAGAGCTTCCACATACCATTTCACAGAAGGGCTTCTCTGCAAGGAGGAGCCGTCCTAGATATAGATGTAACCAGCCTCTGATCAGGGACGTTTGAACAGGTTTTGTCCTTTGCTGTAATAAACATCAGCATCGGAGGCCAGTGGCCACAGTGAATTTCATGAACAGACATCTCACCATTTCATGAACAGACATCTCACCTGGCCAGGAGCTGCGTGTAAGCAGCATGTTATGGGAAGAGAAGCGGGCCTTTTGACTTGGAAAGACATTCTTCAGTTGCTCTCTGTGGAGCCTGTGAGTGGCCGCTGACTCGAGCCTCACCCACACCAGGTGGCATCAAGCTTGTTGATACATGTTAATCTGATAGGTGTAGGATTGTGTAGCTCTCTGAGGCTGGTTTTTTATTTTGCTTTTTACTTTCTATTATGCAACCAGGCCCAGATCTGCCAAATTCTGTGGAGGGAGAACCTGAGCCTGCAGGAGGGAAAGAACCAGGGAGGTGGGAGCCAGTGGAGATTAAAAGTACCAGGGGAACTGGAAACCTGACTGCATATCTTCCTGCACCTTGAGGCACAAAGAGGGTGGGCTGCCTGGAACCACACGACACTGAGGGACTCCCCATCTGAGGTAGAGAGGATGATGTAACAAACCCAACAAGTATCAAGACCTGAGCAATCTAGTTTTGCCTGGACTACCACCTCTCCCTTGCCCCATTATTTGAAGCAAATCCCTGACATCATATCATCTGTAATTTTTTCATGTCATACTTAAAGAAAAGGAATATATATAAATATCATGATTTCTTAATGTAGTCAAATATCTAGTCAAATGTTCTTATTTCATATTATCTCATAAATGATATTTGGAGAGTTTTTTAAAATCAGGATTCAAATAAGGTTTATTATACTTTAAAAATTGGTAGATGTGTTCCCTTCCTTTGAATAACAGCTTTGAGATATAATTCACATAGCATGCCATTCACCCATTTTAAGTGTACAATTCAATGCCTTTTGGGATATTCACAGAGTTGACCATATCATTTCCCTTTTCCCTTCAACCCCAATCTCCAGCTTCAGCCCAGGCAACCACCAGTTTGCTTTCTGTCTCTGTGGATATGCCAGTTCTGGACATTTCATATAAATGGAATCATCTAATATGTGGTCCTTTGTGACTGGCTTCCTTCACTGAGCATAATATTTTCAAGGTTCATCCATGTCATAGTACATTCAGTACTTCTTTTTATTGCTAAATAATATCCATTATGTAGATATGATATATTTTATTGACACATTTATCAGTTGATGGACATGTGGATCATTTCTACTTTGGACTATTATAGATAATCCTGCTGTGAATATTTGTGTACAAGTTTTTGTGTGGACGTTTGTTTTCATTTCTCTTGGGTTTATATCTAGGAGTGGAATTGCTGAGTCATGTGGGAACTCTGTTGAACCTTTTGAACTGCCAGATTGTTTTCCAAAGCACCTTCACCGTTTTACCTTCTCACCAGCAATATATGAAGGTTCCATTTTTTCTATATCCTTACCAATATTTCTTAGTATCAGTCTTTTGATGTGTTTCGTGAGTCTCAATTTTGAGATTCCTCCTCTGCGTCTCTTTCAGTTTCTTTGTAATTTTGTTGTGTTGAAGAAACCAGTCTAATTGTTCTGGAGAAGATCCCAGAGTTTGGGTTTTGCCGATTACATCCCTGTGGTGTCTTTTAGCTCTTACTCTGTCCCCTGTATGCCTGTAAATTTGTATTTATATCCTAGAGTCTTAATTAGATTCAGATTTTAGGTTTTGCTTTGTTTTGTTTTTGAGCAAGATGACTTCATATATGGTGCTGTGGACTTCTGAGAGAAAATATACAGTGTCTGATTATCTTACTTTTTGTGACAAAATAAGTAGTTGACATTATAGTCAGATTTCAATGTACCTTTCTCTTAGCATGAGTGAGATGAACATCTCTTCGTTTGTTTAAGAACCATTTATTTGTATTCCTTATTCTGTCGGAACACATTCTTTCACTGTTTCATGTTCTTTCAGCAAATATACACAGTAGACATCTTTCTTACTCATTTGCAGAAGTTCTTTATCTATTAGGAATATCGACTTTCTCTGGTAGGTGACTTTCAATCATTTCCTCCCTCCCTGATCCCCCATAGGAGAGCAGGCTGCACTTTTTACATTATAGTCACAGCTTTTCACAATCTTTTATGGTTCTCATAACATCACTCTTTGTTTGAAGGATGCCTCCTCTATGTCATTTCTTGCCACCTAGAGCATGAGATCCCTGAGGACAGAAACCTTGTCTGTCCAATTCCCACAGTTTTCGTACTGCCTCATATGACCCATATATGTCCTATACACACAGTAAAAAGGACACTCACGCCCCACCAAGCTCATATGACATTTTTGAAGCTCCAGGGACTAAACCATGGTACTGATCCCCAAGGAGCCTCATTGAGAGAAAAGGCTGGGGCAAGACCCAGCAAAGTAATGTGAGGAGGTGGGGACAAGTTTCCAGGCAGGACATTTGTTAAAGCCAGTGTTTGTAGATCAGGGTCCACTGACTAAACTGAGGATAGGAGGGCAACTGGTAGGGTAGGCGCAACTCTGATGTCCATTTCTCTGCTCACAGGCCAGGAGTCTGCCAGCCCCATCCGGACCACACACATGGGGCAGGTGAAGGGGAGCCTCGTCCACGTGAAGGGTACCAATGTGGGGATCCACGTCTTCCTGGGAATTCCCTTTGCTAAGCCACCTGTAGGGCTGCTGCGATTTGCACCCCCTGAACCCTCTGAATCTTGGAGTGGTGTAAAGGATGGGACATCCCACCCAGCCATGTAAGCAGGGGGTCCAGGGAACTTTAGGTCCTGGAGTAGAGGGTACTCTGAACTCTGAGCCAGGCTACAGTTGTCATTTTGTCTAAATCCCCACAGCCAGTTTTCCCCCTGAGTTTGGTGGATTCCCACATTCATTTCCAGTGAGCACACTGAGCATTTGAAGGTTGGAGTAACCTTCCCAGGCTTGGGTCTTGGCACTCAAAGGGCATTAGCTCCAGGTAATGAAGGGATAAGCAGAGACACACATCTCTTTAGGTTCTAGTTATACCTAGTGTTCTCTGCCTCCAAGGGAGGTGTCTCCAGGGGAGGTTTGGGTTGGTTCCATGAACCTTGTAGGAACCCCTGACCCCAGCAGCAGATACTGTAGATCACTGAGGACTGGGGGACCCCCAATCTGCACAGTCACTGTGCCAACTGACAGGGCCAGGTGGCATTGGGCAAGGGGCATGTGTATGTTCTTACAACTGGAAACTGTGTGGGAGTGATGAGGTTCCCTGAGAATCTGACTTGGATGAGGAACTGCCCTTCTCATAAGAAATTAGCATCCATTCATTCAGGCAGTACATGTATGTGTGCTTTTCCCCTATTCCAGGCCTGTCTTGTGAATGTGGTGAATGCCAACACATGCAACCAATGGTTCTCATAGAGACTCCCAAGAGTTAAGATTTCCCAGCTTCAGAAGGATTGGTATCTAAGGCCCTCATAACGTTGAGGCCTCCCTGGAAAACTGGGCTCCATCCCAGCTTCCCTAGAGACTGTGTCCTGTAACTTGGTACAGAGGGGCTCTAGAGAAGGACTATGTATGAACAGGTTATTGAAGGAAGTGGGACTAAGGAAGGCTGGAAGCCAATTTGGGCCCAGAATCTGGTTTTGGCCACAGCCACTGACTGCTTACCATGGTGACCAGGTGTCTGCAAGACATCACTCTCATGGATGCACTTGCTCAGTACCTGCTGAATCACACCCTGCTGTTCACCTCCATGTCTGAAGATTGCCTGTATCTCAATATCTACACACCTGCCCACACCCACGAGGGCTCCAACCTGCCTGTGAGTGCCAGGCCACAGCGAGCTAGCTGTGGAAAGACATTTCTTCTATAAGATTAGAAAGGAAAAGATTGGGTTGGGCCCTACTGCAGTATGGACCCTGTTGAGAAGCCTCTCACTATCAGGTCCAAGAGTGCTTCTTACCCAGTATGGGTGGCTGACCCCTAGGCACAGAGTCATAGAACTCTTGCTGTTCCCAGAGGTCTGAAGATGTGGGCCTGGGCTAGACCCAGGACTAAACCAACCAACTCATGCCCAGAAGACCCACTCAGGTGCATGAGGGCTGCACTCATGAGGTGGTCAGAGACCCCAGCCATGGATTATCTGTTAGATCAATGAGAATGGAGGACATTCTTAATTAATTAGCATATGGGATGATTTGGGAGATGCCCCTTTTCTTTGTACCTCAGAGAAGGTTTTGGGAGAAAGGAAGCCAGGCTTTGGTACATGCAGCAGGCCTCCAAGTATGGAAGACCCAATTTTCCTAATAGAATTTGGCTCACCTTCAGCCTAGGTCATGAAGATACCATGCTGTCCTATTTGAGTTCTGTCTCTGTGATTAGCTGGATAGAGCCAAAGTGGTGGTTAGTCTAGACAGCAGCCCTGGTGGGGTTTGGGTTGGGTGGGAGCCACATGGTGCCTGTGCTTTGGTTTCCCCAGGTGATGGTGTGGATCCATGGTGGCGGGTTGGTGATGGGCATGGCTTCCATATATGATGGCTCTGCACTGGCAGCCTTTGAGGACATAGTAGTGGTTGTTATCCAGTACCGCCTGGGTGTGCTGGGCTTCTTCAGGTAAGACGGGGCTAGGCTGGGCAATGTGGGCTTAGTGGAGCCAGGACAATCCCTTGACCCCCATCCCTGCCACTTCTCAGCACTGGAGACAAGCATGCATCTGGCAACTGGGGCTACCTGGATCAAGTGGCCGCACTACACTGGGTCCAGCAGAATATTGCCTACTTTGGAGGCGACCCTGGGCGTGTCACCATTTTTGGTGAGTCCGCAGGTGGCACAAGTGTATCCTCACACATGGTGTCCCCCATGTCCCAAGGACTCTTCCACGGTGCCATCATGGAGAGTGGTGTGGCCCTGTTGCCCGGTCTCCTTGCCAACTCATCTGACATGGTCTCCGCAGTGAGTGCCCTCAAATGTTGGAAACCTAGTCCTGCCACCTCTTCTCTTACCTCTCAGCCTCCATTACTCTATCTATTTAATGGGGATAACAGGGACTCCCCTGACATTGAAGCTCCTAGGGAACTGCCACCTACCCAGGAATTGCTGAGGGGCTCAAGGGTCAGATTCTACAGACCTCTGCATTGCAGAAGCTGAGTATGTTCTGCTCAACACAAAACTGCTGTCCTAGATGTCTCCATTATGGGCGGAACAGTCTATGCAGGTGGGATGGCCCCTCTGGCAAAGACCTCTGAGCATAAGTGAAGTTAGAACAATGTCAAAACTGCAGGAATTCATGCACAATACTTTGTGAGATTTAGCATGCACCTGCCCCCAACTAGGGCCTTAGGAAAATGCCTCTCCCCTACACTGAAGATGAGCCCCTGCCTGATCTCTACAGATGGTGGTCAACCCATCTTCCTGTGGCCAGGTTGACTCAGAGGCCCTGGTGGACTGCCTGCGAGGCAAGAGTGAAGAGGAGATTCTAGACATCAACAAGGTTGGGCTGAGTGGATGTATGTGTGTGAAGGGCGGGGGCGAACAGGTGTGGGGCAGTAGGCCCTTCACACACCAGAGGCAAGTTGCTTCATCTCCATGCCCCTGTGTCCTCATAGCCCAGGACAGGAAATCAAGGCCAGGGCATGCTGAGCCTGGGTATGTGGGAGCATCCTGCCAGGAAGGAGTGGATAGCACTCACAGGGCATCAGAGCTGAACTTGTGTGTCCCCCCAGCCCTTCAAGATCATCCCCGGTGTGGTAGATGGGACCTTCCTGCCCAGACACCCCCAGGAGCTAATGGCCTCTGCTGATTTTCAACCTGTTCCCAGCATCATTGGTGTCAACAATGATGAGTATGGTTGGCTCATCCCCATGGTGAGGCCCAGCCCCAAGCCCAAGGTGCTGGGATACCTATCACTGGGGGCAGGGAGAGGTTTGCTCAGGAGTTTGTGACTCCAGGCCCGTTCTACCCCCAACTCAAGACTCCGCTTCTTTACAGTTCATGAACATCTCTAAAATTCAGAAAGAAATGGACAGAGAGACCACGAAGGCTGCTCTGCAGGAAGTACTAGCAATGATGGTGAGGACCCAGTGGAGAGGGGCCCCTCTCCTGTCCCAGAGCAGGGGAAACTCCAGATATCCTGTCCATGCAGTGTCCCCTATGAGCAAAGGCTAGGGTCACCCCAGAGCTTGGCACCTTCCCCCCATTTCCTGTTCCATCCCAGGAGCCATCTCCCCAGCCTGCCTCTGCTGCCTCCCTGCCCCTGCCAGCCTGCCTGACATGACTATTCCTGATCCACCCTGGCTAGATGTTGCCTTCTGAGATTGGTGACCTGTTGATGGAGGAGTACATGGGGGACAGTGAGGACCCCCAGACCCTCAAGGCCCAGTTCCAGGAGGTGATGGAGGATGCTGTCTTCGTGATCCCTGCACTCCAAGTAGCAAATTTACAGCGTGAGTATACCTGCAACTAAGGCCAGATTAGCAACGGGGCAGCACAGAGCTGCAGGTTCCAGGTAAGGTCCATTGGCGTTCAGGTCCTGACCCACATCTGTTTATTTAATGTCCCTCATGTCAGTAAACCCTCATGGCTAGTCTAAGAGACAGGCACTTCCCTCATTTTACAGGTGAGGAAACAGATTCAGTGACTTCCCAAGACCACATAGCTAAGAAGTTCCAAGGTCATGATTTGAACCCAGGTCCTTCCCACTGCCCCTGCTCCAGCATGAGATCCCATCGCCCCACTGTCCAGATTCCAACAAGCTTTGGACCTAGCTATCTTGTCACCAAGGGTGATGCAGAAAAGTTTTGGGGGTCGGGGGACACCATGTTATTGGCCTGTCCATCCCACCCCTCTAGGTTCGCTTGCCCCTGTCTACTTCTATGAATTCCAACATCGGCCCAGCTTCTTCAAGGACATCAAGCCACCCCATGTGAGGGCAGACCATGGTGATGAGATTCCCTTTGTCTTTGGAACATTCTGGAGAAACTCTGGTGAGTCTTCCTGTATGGGGTCCCTCAGAGACACCTTGTTCCCAGGATATGGGACGGGATGTTGGCTGGATCCCTGTGTAAGGGTAATTTCCCTCACTGTACAGATGAAGAAACTGAGGCTCAAAGAGAGGGCGGGATTAGGTGTCCAAGGTCTTACCACTAGAAAGACTAAGCTAGAATTTTAGTTCAAGATTCTTTAGACTGGGGCATGTGCTCCCTCCGCCTCTCCCTACTCCAACCATTGGTATCTGGTGTGGATGCAGTGGGGAGGGTTTCAAAGGCACATTTGTTTCTTAGATGACTTTCCAGTGTCAGAAGGAAAAAGGGAGCCTTCTAGGTCAGGAATGAGCTTAGTTTGGATACAGAGAAGGCCTGGCTCCCCTCAGGGGGAGCTGGCAGAGAGCCAGGCCTCGGAGACCAGGGGAGGGGCCAGGGAAAGCTACCCCTGGTGAGTGTGGTGGGGTGAGGTCCATGTGCTGGACCCAAGTTGGCCCTGATCTGAGCTCTTGTCCTCTTGCTTTCTGCAGTTGAAATTCCTGAGGAGGAGGTGATGCTGAGCAGGAAGATGATGAAGTACTGGGCCAACCTTGCTCGAAATGGGTGAGATGTCACACCTCACCTCAACCTCCATGGGAATCTTGAATCCATCCGGGGCTCCCCTTATCTATGGTGACCTCATCAGCATACATGCATGCTTAATTACATGGTGGTCCCTTCCCTAGCTCCAGGACCCACAGGACAAAGAGGGACCTTGTGGGTGCTGGATTCTTGGTCCATCTCTGGGTGACCTGGGGCAGGGGCTGGGGGTGCATGTAACAGTGCTGTGTTACTCCCATGGCCTCCCTCTGACAGGAAAGGACAAAACAGCCCAGGTCGCCCCCACTCCAGTGGAGCTGACACTATAGTGGGAGGTAGTTTCTTTCCTACATCTGGAAACCTCCCCATTGTATTCCCCAAACCTAGATGGTTTGGTGTCTTGCCTGCCCTGAGTTGGGGCGATCAGGTCTCAGCTCAGTAGGGGTCAGAGTGACTCTCACATGACCCTGCTTGGGGGGACATATCTACAGGAACCCCAACGGTGAGGGTCTGCCCCACTGGCCCGTGTATGACCAAGAAGAGCAATACCTGCTGCTGAATGTGCAGCCTTCGGTGGGCCGAGCCCTGAAGGCCCACAAGCTCCAGTTCTGGACAAAGACCCTTCTCCAGAAGATCCAGGAGCCAACGGGGGCTGAGGAGAGGCACCCAGAGCTCTAGCTCCCTGTGTCTGGGCATGAGGAGGTCAGGGGTGGGCTTGAATGCAGGTCGGGTTCTGCCAGATGTGCCCACACGCACCCACTGAGGGTCACTGGTTTTTTCTTTCATTCACTTGGCCATTCATGTATTTCTCCAGCCAGCCAGCCAGCCAGCAAAGATTTATTAAGAACCTACTGTTCCAAGTTCTTGTGATGTTGCCAAGCCCCCTGTAGGTCCTCTTCTGTTAGGCGCACTCAGTAAATCCTCCCAAGAAGCTGTGGATGGGCAAACCCCAGTAGAAGTTTACCTTGCCCAGTACCCCACTGCGCTTCAGGCCTCCTCCTCCCTTCCTCACTTCACTGCCTCCCCACCATCTCTTCTCTCTCTCTGAAGCAGAGTGCTTTGGGAAATGTCACCCACATGTAGCTCTCAGCCCCATATGCTCTCACACCTGTAAGTGGTCAATAGAAATTCTGGACACCAGGAGCTCGGGACTTTGAGACCTCAGCCACCAAGGCTACCAACTATTAAGAATATAAAGGTCCCCACCCATTGTCCCTCTAGATTAAGTGCCATCTATCATTCACATTTAAAGAACCCACTCAGTCACTTATCTGTGTCCCATGGAGGTGGTAACCAACTTCATTTTTTGTTAGAAGCAGGACTGGGCTTGTCTATGGGCCTCTGGATCCTAGGCCAGCTGTGAAGTGTCTGGGAGACCCATGTGGTTTCCTCAGTCACCTGCCTCCTGAAATATGCCTTTATTCTCACTGGTTCCGCAGACTCTATAGGGTCCAAACTTTACATAATTGTAGCGTATACATGAAGATATTTATCTGTGGTATGTTTTCTCGAAGTAGGATTGAGGGGCCAGAAGGTCCAGGAAAAGAGACTCTTGTCCCCTCACCCATCCAAAGAGGTCTCTTGCCTTCTAGAGTTCCCTTTGCCAACCTCGCTGTCCCCCAACCCCCACCTTCTCTGATGAACATCTCCCAACTCAGTGACCATATCCACATGATTAGTTTTTCTACTCACTCATTGTATTCCCGAAACTTTTCTTCTTCCACCTTATCCCCCCGCAAAAAGAAACAGTCCCTTACATTTTATCTCAGCATGCAAAGATACCAAATTGTGTTTACGCTGCCTCTCTGTTGCCCCAAAGCACTTTCTCTCTGTCACTAAGAGACGATCCCTCTTCTCATAGACTTAGGACTTCCTCTATTCCCCTACCTCTGACCAACTTGCCCTCTCCAGACACATTTCTAGGAGGAAAGTCCCCCTTCTTTCCCTCCACTGCATGTCAACATAACATAGAGTCTCCCCTGAAACTGGACACGAAGGCTGGAGATTCCTTCATTGCCCACCTGGCCTGACATGGCCAGGGGAGAAGGAAGGGATTTCCTTTCGGTGAAGACGGATTGGTGGCCCACAATGCTTCCCCTGCATCCTGAAAGCATTAATTGAGCACCTGTGGCATGTACATTTTGCATTCCTGCAGATGCATAGTATACTCCCCCAAACTGGATTCCCAGGTCTAGTTTTAGTAATTTTTTAAAAGTTTAATTGTGGAACAATTTACACAATTAAATTCATCCATTGTAGGTGTACAGTTTGATAAATTTGGGTAAATGTGTAAGACATAGAGTCACCATCACATCAAGTTTTAGAATGCTTCTATTGCTCTAAAAAGTTCCCTCAGGCCCCTCTGCAGTCAGTCACTGCCCTGACCCTAGACCCACACAACCACCAAACTGCTTTCTGTCACTATAGTTGCCTTTTCTAGAATGTCATAGAAATGGAATAATCTTTTACTGGCTGTTGTCACTTAGCATAAAGTTTTTATGATTCAACCAGTAGGTCTTTCTTTTTAATGCCAAGTAATACTCCACATGCAATATGCCAGATTTTACCCATTCACCCGGTGATAGGTATTCTAGTGATTTCTATTTGTTGGCTGTTTTTAATAAAGTTGCTATGAACAAGTCTTTGTATGGACATACAGTCTCATTTCTTCTGGCTCAACAACTAAGAGTGGTATTGCTGGGTTATGTGTTTATGTTTAACTTTTAAAGAAAATGCCCAACTGTCTTCCATGACTATGCCAGTTTTGCATCCTTATAAGCCATATATGTGGGTTCTAATTGCTCTATATCCTTGTCAACACTTGGTCTTATCAGTCTTTTACATTTGATCAATTTCAGTGGGTGTGTAGTGGTATCTCACTGTAGCTGGTTTCCTATTTCCATATCTCCTTCTTCCTCTCTCCCTCCCACCTCCTCCCCCATCATGCCTGGGGATCAAAGTTCAGGGTGAGGGAAGGGCCTTGCTAGAGAAGCAACAAAAGAGGACTCAGAACTTTGAAATGGTTGTTTTTCACAGGACAGAAATTTGATCCTAAAGGCTCTCCAGTTCTGGGTGCCAGCTGGAACCCCAGGAGAGGATCTGGCATTTTGTTTAGGCATGACCTTTACCCTGTCCCTCACCAGCACTTCCAACTGTTCAAATTAGCAGATGTTTGGCAGTGTTCCATTCTCCACCCATCCTCTCATCCCCACACCCCTCGCTCCCAGCCAGCCATGTTCCTGACCCTGAGGCCCAGGCACTGAGATCCTGCCCTCCCTTGGGGTAGGGGCTTTCCCAAGCCAGCAGGGAGACAGATACCCTGACAGACCCCTGCCCTGGCAAGAAAAGGCTTCCGTGGACTCTGGTTCCATGCCTCCTGTTTTCACACGTGTAACCTCACTTCAGCCTTGTGAGGCAGTTCCTATTTATCATCTGTTTTATGGATAATAAAACTCGGCCCAGAGCTGTGAAGTAGCTTGTCAAGGTCACACAGCTAGCACTTTGTAGAGCCATGATTTGAATACAGGCTGTCTGACTCTCAAGTCACATCTTTCAGGGATTTGGAGTGGGATTTAAGTTGTTAATAGGAATCTTCCTGTCTCCTTCCTCCATCATGCCTACCTTCAGACCTTAACTCCTTTGTGCCCAGAAGTCTCAGGGACACTTTGAGGATAGTGTGCCCTGCTTCTGCCTTGACGCTTGAGGGTCCTCCAAGAGATTGGGCTTACATGAGAAAGTCACCGCCAACATACCCCCCAGGTACCCTCAGTCCTGAGGCCCCATGGCAGTGCTGCTAAGGCCCAAAAGGCCCCAACACTCTATAAAAGCACCAGCCAGATGCTGTGGAAAAGAGCTTGTCAGTTTTTCAATATGTTAAACATAGAATTACTGTATGATCAGCAAGTCTGTTCCTAAATATAGCCAAGAAAACAGGACCACACAGAAATTTGTGCATAAATGTTTATAACACTATTATCCATAGTAGCCAAAAGGTAGAAATAGCTCAAACACCCATCAATGAATGAATGGATAAACAAATTTGTAGTCTGTACATACAGTGAAATATTATTCAGCCATAAAAAAGAATGAAGCACTGCTCTGTGCCACAATCTGAATGAACCTCAGAAACATTATGCTAAGTCAAAGAAGCCAGACAAAAGGTCACATATATTGAATGATTACTTTTACATACTAGATCCAGAATAGGTAAATCCATAGTGGCAGAAATCAGATTAATGATTATCAAATTATCAGGGGATGGATGTAGTGAGTGGGAGGTGTGGAGATAGAGGTGGGAATAGACAGTGATTACCTAATGGTATGGTACAGGGTGTTTTGCTGGGGTAATGAAAGAGTTTTGTGACTAGAGATGTGGTAGTTGCACAAAATTGCAAATATCCATATTTGAACCGTGCTGCAAAGCTCCCTTGCCTGGGTTGTCAAATCATTCAGACCCCTGCAGTGCACTCTCCCAGGTTCATTCTACCTCCCCCAGCCTGGGCACCAGGCACTGCATCACAGGGCTGGCCACCAGCCAGGTTGTGTAACATAACCATTTCAGGACTGGCTGTACCAAAGGGCAAGGATTTCATTCCACTTTGTTTCACTTCTACCCACAGTCAGTTGTGAGTGAGGAGCATGGGGACAGTGGTAAGAATGGCGTCTAGGGTCCTGGTCTGGGTGGCCTGTCTGCTCCTGCCATTCCCTGCTGCAACGGCTGGTAAGACACACCTGCAGGACCTGCAGAGGTGGGGGCCTGGGGGCTGCTGGGGAACTTAGTGGGAGGGGGCAAGAGTGAGGTAGGGACAGGGAGGGGTGGGCAGCCTGCTGGAGGAAGGAGCCCTCAATTTGGAGGAATGCCGTGGGTGTGCTTTCTCTCTGAGCAGGGGCTCTGCACTCGCTGTCATGTGTGATCTCCAGAGTAGCCCAGCCCAGCCAGGGGACATGACTGTCATGTTTTAAGGAAACCCGATATTCATTTTCATCAATGAGACAGACACAGAAATGACTGTTGTGGAAGGAGTAGTCTACTCATGGTTCCCTAGAAATGGGAAGAATGCAGGGAAGCATGGGGTCTGGTAGGAGTAGGGGTAGGCAGATGTAGGCAGGAGTCTTTATTGTTTCCTGGGACAGAACAAGCAAGGCAGGCTGAGCAGGTTTAGGACTGGCTAGTTTGGGAATTTCAGTGGGCTCTGGGCATGGGGCTGCACCAGCTTGTCTGGTGCCTGGCCCTGGGGTGATTAGGACAGGTGGTTAGTGGTAGAGAATGTGAGCGCTCCATAGAGGAGGTGGCAGGGGTATGGGCTCTGGGTTGGTTGATTTGCATTTCAAAGACACACTTCCTAGTCTGTTGTTTAAGAATTGGCTCGTTGTGGGTAGGGCAGTCCCTCCAGGGTTAAAAAGACAGGGTTATTACGTTTGACTTAGCAGATGGAGCAGTCTGAGGTTCAGCTGGTCTGTGGGTCCCCAAAGCGCCTGGTCCCTTCACTTGGCGGGTGGGGGCTGGTTTGGCCTGGAGGAGAGTGGTGCTTATGCCGAAGCTGGGAGGAGACAATGGAGGGTAATCACAAGCTTGCTGGGAAGGTTAGTCAAAGTGCTGTGTGGAAAGTGCTCAGCACAGGGCCTTGGCAGAGTAGGTACTCAGAGAGCGAATATTAGCGAGTCCATTTGCCACCCCTCCCTGTCATGGAGGCTGCAAACTTACCCCATGGCCCCTCTATTCTGCCCTCAGGGCCAGAGGGTGCTCGGCCTGAAGTGGACACCACCCTGGGTCGTGTGCGAGGCTGGCAGGTGGGCGTGAAAGGCACTGACCGCCTTGTGAATGTCTTCCTGGGCATCCCATATGCCCAGGCACCCCTGGGTCCCAACCGGTTCTCAGCCCCACGCCCAGCGCCGTCCTGGGAGGGTGTGCGGGATGCCAGCACTACCCCCGCGATGTGAGTACAGTAGCCCTGGGGAGGTGGGCAAGCAGGCAGCTTGGTAGGGGTCTAGATGCCAGGGCTTGTGGGCTGACCTGCTGGCCCTTGGGTTCATCCTCTCCTGCAGGTGCCTGCAGGATGTGGAGAAAATGAGCAACAGTAGATTTGTGCTGAACGGAAAGCACCAGGTCTTCCCTATTTCAGAGGACTGCCTGCTTCTCAACATCTACAGCCCAGCTGAGACCACTGCAGGGGCCAGGAGGCCGGTGTGCAGCCCAGAAAGCCCTGTCTGCCTGTCCAGCTCTGCCCAGCCTGTTTCCTCCCCAGCCCTGCTCCCATAATGCCTCCGGGGCCTGTGAGTGCCCTGGGCTGCTGGGTGGGCAGCTCAGTCCCAGGAGCTGGGGGTCACTGCCCATGGCCATCTCTGCAGGTCATGGTATGGATCCATGGGGGCTCTCTGACTATCGGCGCTGCCACTTCCCAGGATGGGTCAGCCCTGGCCGCCTACGGGGATGTGGTGGTGGTCACGGTGCAGTACCGCCTGGGAGTCCTTGGCTTCCTCAGGTGAGGTGACAGTCCTGGCAGAGGGCACTGATGGCACTGAGGAGAGGCCAATTTATGAGAGGAATGGGGATCTAGGGTGGGAGTCCAGAGCTCAAATGGAGACCTCCAGGGCTCAAATGGAGACCTCCAGGGTAAGCAAGGGGTTTAGAGACCAAGGGCCTTTCCCCCGTGCTGTCTGGGTGACCCCTGAAGCTCCACCCTGGGGGAGGGGAGGGGCTCAACCAAAGCCAGAATTATACAGAGAACTTGGGCCTTTGGACCGAAGGTATTGGCTCCTGATCTGGGCCACAGTCCCAGCAGGATGTGGGGGCAAGTAGCAACAAGCTCTGTCAGCCACTTGAGAGCCAGCCCAGGCTGCCTACCCAGCCAAGTCGGCCCACCTCGTGTGCTGGGCATATGGATACCATGCATGCCTCACAGACCTGGGGAGCAAGGGAGGGTCTGGCAACCTGGTGGCTGGTTCAAAGCAAACCTGCAAAGACGGGGAAATCTGTCTGGGAGCCAGCCTTCACTAACCACTGCCCCCACCCTGTCCCCAGCACTGGGGATGAGCATGCACCTGGCAACTGGGGCTTCCTGGATGTGGTGGCTGCTCTGCGCTGGGTGCGGGAGAACATCGGCCCCTTTGGGGGTGACCACAACTCTGTCACCATCTTTGGCGGATCTGCTGGTGGCTGCATTGTCTCTGCCCTGGTGAGTCACCACAGGGGGCTAGGGAGGATGTCTCCTGTGGTCTTGAACCTCGCAGCCCCTCTGCCCTCCTCTGACAGCTGTCTGTCTTCTATACTGCACCAGGTCCTCTCCCCACTGGCTGCAGGGCTGTTCCACAGAGCCATAGCACAAAGTGGGATCATCACCGTACCGGGGGTACTGGATTCTACCTCAGGGCCCCAGGTTCAGGTCTGCATTTCTGTCACTCTCTTACCCCACAGGTAACTGCCACACCTCCCCCTGTGCTTGCCCTGGAGTCTCAGAGGGAGTGCCATGGGTAGGGCGCTCCTTGTGGGCAGAGACAGACCCACTCAGATGAAAGCAGCACACTGCCTGTGGGATCGCAGGGAAAACCACTAGCGCCACCTGGGTGCAGAAGGATTCAGGAACCCACCCCTCGAGCCTCACTTCCCACTGACTTCCTGACCCTGCTCCAGCCTCAGCACCCGCCACCATACCCAGTCTGTCAGGCTGGCCTTTGCTGGGATCCCACCCCCTCTAAACTCTATCTCATTTTCTCCTTCACTCTACAAAACTTTACCAATGCCACTGGCTCTGGGAATATAGTTCTCAGAGGGGTAAAGGGGACTCAGCCACACACATAGATAATGACACTATGATACAATGGGGTGCCTGGGGACCACCCAGGCTCATAGGCAAAAGAGGCTTCTCAGGATTGGTGGCATGTCTCTGGACGGTCTTGAGGTCCCAATTCTGATGTCACTGCCCCAGCTCTCCTACAGATGCACCCCCTCTCTCTGGGAGGCAGAGAGCTGGAAGCGGAAGTTGATGGGTGAGAGAGAGGCAAGACACTTTTGTCTGTCCCCAGAGCTTTGCGGACTCCATGGGCTGCAGCTCTGACTCCTCGGCTGAGATGTTGCGGTGCCTCCGGCAGAAGACAAGCAAGGAGCTGCCCCTTGACAAGTTGGTACGCCCACCTCTTGGGGGATGATGGTAGTCAGGGGTACAGAGGGGTCCTGTCCAGCACCTGTGGGGCAGAGAGGTAATCAATAATCTGGGGTGAGGCTTGGGTCAGCCACCCATGAGTGGAAGGAGCTGAGGGCCCAACGAAGCCCAAGGACATGAATGGAGGACCACTCTGGCCCTGAGGACAGTTGCCTGGTCTCTGACTCCCCCTCAGTCCTCTAGCTTGGTGACTGCCATCCTCTTTCTTTCCCTCAAAGCTCAGCCATCCAGGCTTGCAGCCTGGTGACCCCTGGGATCCCATCTTTTGAAGCACTTTGGCCTGTTAGGGAGGACTTCTGCCTTGCTTTCTCCTGCAGGGAACTGTGGCTTCCTACACCATTGATGGCACCTTCTTTCCCAAGAGCCCCAAGGAGCTCCTGAGGGACAGGCAGTTTCCCCGTGTGCCTTTCCTCTTGGGTGTCACCAATCACGAGTTTGGCTGGCTTATCCTCAGGGTGAGTGTCCTCTGGCCCCTGTGCCCTGCCCCAGCCTATCGCACCACACCTGGGAGCTGAGCACTCCCGTTTGACAGATGAGAAAGATGAGGCTCAGAGAGGTTTAAGGGACTTGCTCGAGGTAAATCAGCTTAATTTCCCCAAAGCAAAAGTTTCCTTCTTGGAGACCCAGTCTTTGCACAAAGTGGCCTTCTGGGCAGTGCCAGTCTGTAGCATAGTCCTGCCTTGGTGTCTGGTTTATACCTCAGGCTCTAAGAGACTGGTTAGCATGACTCAGTACCTAAAGGATTAATTACCTGAGACTCTCAGGTTTCAGATAACATCCAGCCCCTGGGGGATACCATGGCCCAAGTGCCTTCCAGTCCCTTCCAGAACTCCGCCTACAGATGGTCAACACCGTGCTTTCCTTCTGAGCATGTTATCGTATCATTCTCACTCTTCTACCCATCTTCACAGCAATTGATCTTAATGATTGCAAAACCTTCCACCAAGGGAGGGTCCCATCATAACATTCCTTCCCTTTGGCATTTGGGCAACTTCTAGTGTTTATCACTTAAGCTGAGAGTACAGTGAATATCATGTTTGAAGTTTTTGCCCTCTGACTTATTTCTTTGGAATTAATTCCCAGAGGGGCATTTGAGTGCTTGCTAGATCAGAGGTTCATGCAATCTTGATACTCAAAGATGAACTGTGTAGACGCTTTAGTACCAGGTGTGTGTGTGTGTGTGTGTGTGTGTGTGTGATGGCAGAGGAGTGTTAAGGGGAAGCAGTGCTCTGGTCTGGTAGGCAGCCTTGGCCCCACACTGTCCATTTAAAGAGTTGTTAGTGTAACAGTGAAAGAAAGCCCAACTGGTTGCCTCCTGACACCTGGGCAAACCTGCCTGGTGTGGAACACTGTGCCCAGGACTTTGTAGCTGAGGATGTTTTTCAGGAGTTGGGTGGCTCAGACGGCTGCTCCCTCATCTCTGTTACAGGCATTCCCTGCACTCTCCTTATTATCCATAAGAGTGCAACTGTAAAGTCTTTGGCCAACTAGATGTTTACTAAATGTTCCTGGTGAAAACTTCAGCCATGAAAAGTAATTCATGTCCTTTAAGGAGACCTCTCCACTTCGTCCATATTGCCACTGGCATAGCACTTTCCAAAATTGCTACACTGATTTAAACTGCTGCCAGCAACTTGAGTCTACAGGTTTTATTGCAACTTTACCAGCAACTGCAGATCATAATTTTTAAAATATCAACTTTATTGAAATACAATTTACATACTATAAAATTTACCCTTTTTCAATTATACAATTCTATGGGTTTAGTATATTCACAAAGTTGTGCAGCCATTGCCATTATCTTATTCCAGAACATTTGCATCACTCTAAAAAGAAACTCATACCTGTTAGCAGTCACTTCCCATTCCCTGGCAACCACTAATCTACTTTTGATCTACTTTCTGTCAAATCTATGTATTTGCCTATTTCTGACATTTTGAATCAATGGAATCATACCCTATGTGGGTTTTTTGTATGAGCTCTTTCACCTAACAAGATGTTTTCAAGGTTCATCCATATGGTACCATGTACCAGTATTTCATTCTTTTTTTATGACTAAATAGTCCATTAAATGGATATGCCACATTTTGCAGTTGATAGACCTATTGTTTCCACCTTTTGGGCTATTACAGATGATCCTACCATGAACATTCCTAAACAAGTTTTTGTACAAACATATGTTTTAGTTTCTCTTGGTTATATACCTGGACGTGAAATCACTGGATCATAGTCACTCTATGTTTAATCATTTGAAGAACTGACGAACTGTTTTCCAAAGTGGCTGCACCACTTTACATTCCCACTAGGAGTGTATGAGGATTTAACTACTACAAATCCTCATCAGCATTTGTTATTATCTCTTTTTGATTGTAGCCATCCTTAAAGGCCTTTGCCCATTTTTAAATTGGATGATTCCTTTTTATTATTGAATTTTAAGAGTTTTTCTTATTTCAAGATATCTGACTTGTGAATATTTTCTCCCATTCTCTGGCTTGTCTTTTCACTTTGTTGATGGTGTCCTTTATAACACAAAACTTTTTCATTTTGATGAAGTCCAATTCATTTTTTCTTATGTTGCTTGTGCATTTGGTGTCATACCTAAGAAATGATTGCTTAATCCAAGGTCTTAAGGATTTACCTCTGTATTTTCTTCTGAGGACTTTATAGTTTTAGCTCTTACCTTTAGGTCTTTGATCAATTTGAGTTAACTTTTCTATATGGTGTAAGTTAGAAATTCTTTTGCATGTGATTATCCAGCTGTTCCTGCTTCATTTGTTGACAAAACAATTCTTTCCTTACTGAATTGTCTTGGTATCCTTATTGAAAATCACTTGGCCATCCATGTAAAGGCTTATTTCTGGACTCTCAATGCTATTCCATTAATTTATATGTCCTTATGCCACTACCACATTATCTTGATTACTATAGTTTTGTAGTAAGGTCTGAAATTGGAAAGTGTGGATCTTCCAACTTTGATCTTCTTTTTCAAGATTGCTATATTACTTTTCTAGGGTTGCCGTAACAAAGGACCACAATCTGGGTGGTTTAAATAACAGAAAGTAATTGTCTCAGTCATTCTAGAGTCTAGAAGTCTGAAATCAAAATGTTAACAGGGTTGGTTCCTTCTGAGGACTATGAGAGAAGCTATGCCTCTTTCTTACACCCAGTAGCCTTAAGCATTCTCTGGCCTGTAGGCGGCATTCTCCTTCTGCCTTCACATTGTCTTCCCTCTGCATCTGTCTCTGTGTCCAATTTCCTCTTTATACAAGGACACTAATCACACTGGACTAGAGTCTATCCTCATGATTACCTCTGTGATCATCTTAACTCAACTACTTCTGTAAAGGTCCTATATTTAAATAAGGTCACATCCTGCAGCACTGGGGTTAGGATTCCACATATCTTTTAATGGAAATACAACTCAATTCATAGTAATTGGTTCTACTGAATCCCTTGCATTTCCATATGGATTATGATCAGCTTGTCAATTTCTGGAAAAAAAAAAAGGCAGCTGAGAGTTTGATAGGGATCACACTGGATCTGTGGATCAGTTTGGGAAGTATTGCCATCCTATCTTAATATGAAGTCTTCCAACCCATGAGAATGAGATGTCTTTCCATTTAGTTAAGTCTTTAACTTCTTTCAATTATGTTTTCCAATTTTTAATATACAAGTCTTGCACTTCCCCTACTAAATTTATCTCTGTGTGTTTTGTCCTTTTGGAGGCTACTGTAAATGGGATTGTTTTCTCAGTATCATCTTCAGATCATTCACTGTCAGTGTATAGAAACAGTTGATTTTTGTAAGTTAATTTTATAGATCATCATTTTAAAAAAGTGTTGCTACTTCAGCTTCTGTGTCCTTTGGTCTAGTCTAATGTTTAGTGAAGGTAAACTCTCCCCTGGGGTACACACTGTTTGTGTTTATTCATCTGCGGATTTTCTGTTCCTGTTCTCACAAACATTAATAAAGAGCCTAGTGGCCATGAAATTAATTTCAATAGCTAACATTTCCATAGAGCTTGCTCTGTGTCAGGGCCCTCATATATATTAACTCGCTTAGTCCTCATAAGAATGCTGTGAGGCAGGTTTTTGTCATTGCTCTTTTACAGATTAAGAAACTGAGACCCGGACAGTAACGGGGTGCTGAGTCATGCACCCAGGAAGTGGCAGAGCTGGAATTCGAACCCAAAGGCTGTGCCCTTAAAACTGTAACACATAAAGCCAATATTTGACTTTAAAGACAACATTTTAACTTTTCCTGTAGCTCTTGCTACATAACCTGCATACAGGATCTTGATGTCCTATGAGAATGTTGAACAGATTCAGTGAATTGCTTTTAACCCCTTGCCTTTTGTATGTGGTGCCGCGCCCTCCCTCTCCAATTTTGAAGTTTATCTTTTTGGTCTGTGGACGTGTGAGTTTGGTTACACTTGTCTGTGGTGAGTTAATGAGTACAGGGCTCTGCACACTCGCCTGCTCATGGCTGGGAGTGGGGCAGCAAGCAGTAATTGGGCTGTGCTGAGAGGGCCTGGGTGTCTCTGCAGGGCTGGGATCTCCTGGATAAGATAGAGCAGATGGACCTGGACAGCCTGCTGACCACCGTGAGACCCTTCTTGACCACTCCGGTGAGACAAAAGGCAGGAAGGGGCAGTCCAGTGAGTGTGCTGCCCAGCATGGTCTCTGCTCCCACCCTCTAGCCACCAAGCTACACACTTACCACCAAGCCTCTTGGTCCACCGGCTGACTTTTAGTTCCACCCAGGAATTCCCTTGAACATGAGTCAATGTGGTTCTCAAATGAAGGTTATCATCATCGTCGTCTGTGTAGACCACCCCTAAAGGAGCACATACTACGTGCCAGAGACTGTGCTGTGCAGAGCACTAGGACAGGCATTCATCCCCTCCAATCCTCATTACAACCAAGAAGGAGGAACTTTAATCATCCCCATTTTACAGATGAGGAAACTGAGGCTCAAGGTCTTCTGGTGGGTAAAGGATAGAGACAGCACCTGAGCCCCCTCTGTCTGGTTCCCAAACTTCAACTGTTAAGATCACACTGTCAGATGTGGAGCCAGGTGGATCAAATCCCAACCTTGGCTACTTGTCCACAGTTATCCAAACCCCTCTGAGCCCATTTCTTCACCTGTAAATGGGAATGAAACTTCCCACCCAAGGAAACTGGTGGCTACATTTGAAGAGTCTACCAGGGAACTGGTACCAGGGAAATGCTCAATCTAGGTGCATTTCCCTTTCTTGGACCTCCTGGAGCCCTCCACATTCACATCACCTCATCTGGCTCTCTGGAGCTCTGGTGAGTCCCATGATTTGTTCTCTCACTGAATTCCTCATTAACTTCAACTGAACACCTGCTCCAGGCCAGAACCCTGTGCTAGGGATTTCACATAGACACCACCTAGAACCCACAAGGGAGGCAGGTGGCTGGCCCATGGCACTTAAGCCCTAGGACCTGAAAGAGACCATACTAGAAGATGTGGGACTTCTTGGGAAGGTGGGCTGTGGCTGTGAGACTTGAGCAGGTCTGAGCCTCACCTCCTGCCCCAGGATATGCCCCCAGAGGCGATATCTATCCTCATAGATGAATATCTAGGCGGCATCTCAGATATACCAAGCAAACGGAACACCTTCCAGGAGTTGTTGGGTGACGCTTTCATAAACTTTCCTGTCTTGGATTTTTCAAGAAACCTTCGAGGTGAGCCCATCCCTGTCCAACTGCCCCACCCTTCCCACTTCAGCACAAGAACTGGGTTATCACAGGTGACATGGCCCCACACCCCACTGCTGCCCCCACACCCTGCATCCTCTCTGGGAGGCAATGTCACAGTAATGAGAGGTGACTCTGGCAGGGCACTCTGCAGGGGAGAAAACCAAGGCTCAGAGAGGTGTAGTGACTTGTCAGAGGTCACCCAACAGGGCCCATCACTGATCTTGGGGGTTCATTTGACTCCTGAGTGATTTCTCCCATGCTTAGTACTTCTCCTGGAAGAAGAGTCTTACTTCCTCCAAGTCTGGTGGCTAATCCATGACATAGCCCTAGAACAGCTCCAAGTTCCTATCTTTGGTGACCTCAGGCAAGATACCTAACCTCTCTGTGCCTCAGGTTCCTCATTTGTAAAATGGCGATAATAGCAGAATCTAATCTGTAGTTAAGATGGTGACATGAATGATTACATGTAAAACCCACAGAATGGTGCTCAACACCCAGCAAGTGCTCAGTAAGTGCTTGCTGCTACTCGTTCTCTCATCATCCTTCTTACGACTGGGATTGGTGTTATTATGAACCTGTCCTGCCAAAAGTAGGACCTGATCAGGCTGTGGGCGCCTAACTCTGGTCTGGCCCCCTCTCCACAGACTCTGGGGTCCCAGTCTTTTTCTATGAGTTCCAGCATCGACCCAGTTCTTTTGCGAAGATCAAGCCAGACTGGGTGAAGGCTGACCATGGTGCTGAGTTTGCTTTCGTGTTTGGGGGTCCTTTCCTCACAAACGAGAGCTCCAGGCTGGGTGAGGACAGACAGATGGGTGATCCCTGGGCTGTTAGCCTCCAACAGGCTGGGGAGGGGTTGCAGGAACAGAGGGCTCTAGTAGGCACAGGGGATCCCTGAATCCTCTCCAAGACCCCCCTGACCCTGATCCAACTCTCTCCCTCTCATAGCCTTTCCAGAAGCCACAGAGGAGGAGAAGCAGCTGAGCCTCACCATGATGGCCCAGTGGACCCACTTTGCCCGGAAAGGGTGAGTAAGTAGGCATACCTGGTTTTGGGCCTGGACTACTCAGATCTGCCCCCAGGGATGACAAAGGTGGCCTTGATCTTCACTTTTCCTACCCAGGGACCCCAATGGTGAGGGGCTGCCTTCTTGGCCCCCATTCAATCAGTCAGAGCAATATCTGGAAATCAGCCTGACACCACGAGTCAGCCAGAAGTTAAGGGAGGCCCGAATGCAGTTCTGGGAAAAGACATTTCCAATCAAGATTCAGCAGTTGAAGCAGAAGCAGCAGCAGAAACAGAAAAGCCAGAAGGCCCAGGAGGAGCTGTGAGGCAGGGGAGGCATTGTCCCCACAGAGCAGCCTCCTTCTCCCCCTGCTAAGTGACTGTAACATGCACCAGGTGACCTGCCATCAAGCCCCTTAAAGGGACAGCACATGTACCCCCCATGATTGGCATGCTCTTTTGAATCATCACTGGCTTCCCACCTCAGACCTTTGCTTGAACTCCTCCTTCTTCATGAAGTTCCCACTTGGTTCATGGCAGGTTCCAGTTCTCTAGCTTCCCAGGCAATCCCTCCTCCAGGAAGCCTTCCCTGCCTTCTCTGGGCCTGGCCCTGAGTCTGTGTCCACTACAATATAGCCCAAGCTAGGCCAGCATTGTCTGTGTCTATGTCTGTGTCTCTCTCCCTCTCTGAGGAGATCTCTGAGAGTGGAAATTAGCCTGACCCCATTCTGCATCTACCACACCAGGATTGGGCAGGACCTGGAATCAGGGAATGTTCGATGAGTGAGTGAAAGATTGAGAGAGTATATGAATGGGGACTGCTGGACGTGAACCCAGGCCCTTCAGGCACCAAGGCTATGCTCAGTCCTGCACGGATGCTGTCTGCCCGGGCTGGAAGGGTGGATGAACCCCAAAAGGCAGAGAAAGACCTGGGGTCAGGGAAGTCCTGAGACCAAGGAATCCAGCCTAGAACAGATCTCAGTCCCCAAAGCCTCTGACTAGGGCTGGGGGAGGTTGCTTTCTTTGTGCCGCCCAGTCTTGGGCCCCGCATAAGACAACTGAGTCCAGACAGGCCAGAGAGCCCTGACCCTCAGAATGTGAGATGTGGGCATCTAGTGCCTCAACCTTTTATGGCCTGGCTGGGCTTCTCCCTCTCCCCCCAGCTAGGGTAGACCAACTTCCAGGGGAGCTCAGCACAGGTCCCAGAGCATCTAGCAGGGCAGAGAACAGTTTGGGGCAGAAGGGTGTCTGGATTAGTGCATCAGGCAGGCTGTTGCCCTAGGGAAAAGAAGAAGCCTCCTCCCTCAAGCTACCACAGGTGAAAAACAGAGGTTTTGGGGTGGGGGCAACCATTTCTTTTTTGTGAGGATCAATGCACCATTCGCTTGAAACATCTGAATTTTAAGACACATCACAGCGACTTCCCCTGCCCTCACTATCCCATCCTACCAACTCCAATCCCACATGTACCCTCCTCCAGGCAAACTCACTTCCTGCCGCTGACGCTTACGTGAAAAGCGCTTGCAGCTGGGACCAGTTCTGTTCTGGGAAGTCCATTTTGGGCAGGAAAGAGAGACATAAAAACAGAGGGGCTCTGAGTCATGCCATTTTTCTGCTCAAAAGCTCCCAGTGACTCTCCGTTGCGCTCAGGGCAAGTCTAAGTTCTTTCCGTGGTATGGGCCTTCTGTTCTCATCCCTCCCCTCCGCCAGGGAGGCCTACCCCCACAAGCTGGTAGAGAGCCTAGCAAGTAAACAGTGTGTTTACTGGAGACACCCGATGTGCTACTGGGGACACAACGGGCTGTAGGAGCCCAGAGGCGTAGACCAGCCCTGATTTGGGAGACAGGAAAGGAGGGGCATCTAAGCTGGGTCCTGAAGGTCATAGGTCATGCAGAGGTTACTCAAAGGTGTAGGCTAGAGTAGTAGACTCGAGGGATGGGGAGTAGGGAAAAGAATGTTCCTGGTGGAGGGCCCAGCAGGAACAAAGGCTTGGAGGTTGAGATGTGCTGAGGAAGCAGTTTTGTACAGCTGCAGAGGTCTTCAATGACCAGACTATGAGGGGCCTTGTGGGCTGCAATAGGGACATGGACAGCCTTGGAAAGGTTTTAACCAGGGGTGACATGAATGGTTGGGGGTGGTGGTGAGAGTTGAAACAGGGACAGCAGGGAGGGGCCAGTGCAGGCTTCCAGGCAGGTGGAGAGGCACTGGTGGGCTCTGTTTTTAGAGTTGACAGATAGACCTGGTAACTGATAGAACACAAAGCTGAGGGGAAAGACTTACGCAGGGGCTGCCTGCAGGTAAGCAGGACCGGGCAGAAAATCCAGAGCCCTTTGACCTCACCAGGTGTACAAAGAGGCCTCTTGCTGCAGGCCTGAGCATGCCCCAGACCTGGCAGACTTGGGTGTGGGGGGACCATCTCCAGCTTTGGTGTCACCATTACCCGAGGGCTGTGGAGAGGGTGGACACACCTGCCAACAGGGCCTCAGACCCCGCCCTCCTGCCAATTTCCCTCCCTCACCTGCCCCTCCAGCTTCTAGGGAATTCTCCACACAGGGAGGGAGAGGATTGGCCGGGCACCAACAATGTCTCAGGGAGGGAGCACCCATGAAGAAGACCCAGGGAGTCTCCCCGTGGCCGGGTCCCAGGAAGGGCTATGTGGAGGGTGTGTGCATGTGAGCTCCAGTAAGTGCTGCAGGGTCAGACATGCCCACCTGGACCCAGTCCCCTGGAAAGACACTGGCAGATGCCCTAAGTACACACAAACTAGCACGCGTACACCCAGTGCCAAACTGAGTAACTTGTGCACACAGGCGATCACACACACGGAGGGCTAATAGGGTTCCAGCCAGTTAGGCACTCCACTGGATGCATATCTTTGAGCAAGTTATTTAACTTCTTTGTTCCTTGTTTCCCCACCTGTAAAAAGGAGGCAGTGATACTGTCCCCCCTTCATATATCTGCTGTGAGCATTGAATGATAATAGCTGTAAAGTGCCTAGAACAGTGCCTGACACACAGCAAGCGCTCAATAAACACTCCCCAGTATAGGTATAGAAACAGACTCCAGTCACACTTGTCTGAAAAAACCTTCTGCCTCCCTTGACTACAATTCAAAGATAGAAGAAATGGGGGTCTGATGCAAGAGGCTGCAGGAGCCTGCCTCTGTCCTGTAGAGTGTGGCACATCCAGAAAGTCACCCTGCAAGGGAATGAGCTGAGTTTTGGAGGATAACTAGGAGTTCACCTGGTTGACACTGTAGGAAAGGGCATACCACACAGAGGGAACAACATGAGCAAAGGCCCCAGCCTTTGTTCTTCTTCTCTTTCCTTCCAGCAATAAACCACCTTCCGTCTGTGGCAACCTAGTTCACACTTCCTGTGGGGCCTTGGTCTCAGTTTCCTTACCTATATGCTAGGGATAATGATAATAATGATGACAAGGAAATAAAGGTGTTTGGAAAGAGTCTAAGCTGGGCCAGATCTGAGAGGAAGACCAAGGTCCCACCTGGTCCACTACTGGGCTTTAGACACATGTAGGCACATCTTTAGAGGCAAGACCGCAGTGAGGCCTGTGCTTGGAGCTGGCTCAGCATCTGGGCCTGGATTGAAAAAAAGAGAGTATGGTTCTGGGCCCACCAGGGTTCTGACCTGAACTCTCACCCCCAGGAGGCAGACAAGGACACCCCGTGAGGGCTTCAGTCAGTGTGCTTGGCCACCTCTACATCAACAGCTGGCTCCTCAATAAAACTCAGGCTCAACTCAGCTGTGGGCTTGGTAACAACTCCTGGGGGCCCCTCCGCACCCCGAGGGCTCCAACATATACTTCCTGGTAACTTCGATATGACCTCTCAGGGCCCAGGAATGTTCCCTGAGCACCTCTCAGACAGCAGACCACTTAAACCCTCCCTTTCCTTCCTTCCTTTGCAGCCAATATTGCTTCATTATGTGGTGACTGAAGGTTACAATTGAGGCAAGTAATATTTTCTGATTCCCAGCTGTTTTTCCCCAAAAGAGAATCTCATCCTTTTTCTGGTTCCAAGAGGTTTCAGCAGCTCACTCTTGCATTCAGAGTCCCTCCAGAGATGGTCTGGAGCTCTGCACTTTGCCAGGGTTCACTCTGTCAGGAGTCATTCCTTCCAGAAAATTCCCTTCAACTCTTCCCTTTATTTTTTTTTCTTAGGAAACTTTGACATTAAAGCATAAGGTATGTAAAGAAAAGTACATGTAGCATCTATTATATACTATAGTTGTAACATCCCTTCTGGTCATGTTGGCGTAAGGCTGTTGTCAACAAGGCTATAGGACACTCATCATGTAAACAATTTTATGTGTTTTGGATAGGTAGTATAAAGGTTTGAGCAACAAATGCTCCATATTGTTCAATGACCTTAGGAAAATGTGTGTTACTTACATTCCTACCATCAGAACGTGAAGGTACCTAGTTTGCTAACCCATAAGGGGACACTGATGTGTCAGTCAAGATCTCAGAATGCAGTGTACGTGAAAGTCCTAAACCATTACAAGATAATTTTGTAGAAAATGGTCTAAGAACCATTACCACAATTCCTGGGCCCCTCGGCCATTCAAGACTTGAAAAAGAGAGTGTAAAAGAGGGAGAGACTGGGGAGAAATTTGGAGAGAGCTGTTGCAACACCGTGAATCCTCAACCCTACTTCCTTCCTCTCCACCTGTGGGCTTTTTTTGTGTGAGACCATGAGGGAGGGGTGAGAAGTGCTGCCCCCACCGGGAGGCTCAGCCAACTGCAGTCTGACTCCACCAAAGGGATATAAAGCAGCTTGTATCCACAGTGGGTAAGGGGAGAGGGCAGTGCAGTGGGCTGGGCCATCTCCTTGATGGAGCAGAGCAAGGCATATTGGAGGGCTGCCCATGTAGACTCTGAAGGATGGGGAGGTCACCTTGGGCCTGTCTCAGGAAGCAATGCTGGGGAGTGAACGTCCATTCCTTGAGCCTAAGGAAGGGACACAGTCTCCTCTGTGGGAGGAGAACTGGGAAGAGGAGTCCTGAGTAAAGGACATCTCTGAAAAGCCCACACAACTGGCCCTGAGAGAAGAAGTAAGCTTTCACCCTCTGCTCCGCCTACAGAGCAGGAGGCCATGGATCAAGTAAGAACTGCCTGTTGCCCCGGCTTTTTCCCCTCCACTGGCTCTACCTTGCTAAGGAAAGGAGTCACGGAAGCCCATCAGACCAGACACCCTTTTCTCAAAGGTGTGGCAGGACTCCAGGCGTTAGCCAGAGATAAGGAGGGGAGCAGTCTTACCTTTGAATGAAGATGGAACATCCCTCTCCCCACCTGCTCCTGCAGCTCTGAACTCCAAATAGGGTCCTCCTTTACCTGACTGACTCCTTATCCTTCCCCTAGAAGATTGGATCTTCTCCAGGGAACCTTCCTTCCCTCACCACAGTCCTCCAGCTCCGGGCTCACCCAGGTACCCGTCTGGTTGCTTCCAGGTCTGGCTGCCCCAGCTAGACCGTCAACTTGTGAGGGCAGTGGCCATCTAGGAATGCTCCCAGGACTTTCTATACCTGGCCCAGGACCCACTGCAACATGTTGATTCTGGCTGAAAGAGTCAGGATGTATGAGGAAGGGTGGGAGAGTGCCTACAGAAAGAGACTAGACAAAGCAAAGGGGATCAG